TCTATCACTTATGGTTAACAAGATAGAAATGCATATCACTTATATCAAATGCATAAGGGGAAATAACTCTCATATGGAATATTCATATCTTTTCGGTCAAAATAGGACAAATCATGCAAAGGATATAACGAGCAATTTTATAAAATAAATTTGTCGCTTTCTTTTACGGTTACGGAGGAGATGCAGTCACAAGGAAAACAGTGTTCGGGGAGATAACTCCTACAAAGAAAATTGTTCGGTTGCACAGGGTGTATTAATTTCTTTTCAGGGGAGACCATTGAACAGAGCACATGTGTATTGATCGGACAAACACGATCACTATTGGTTTTATTTTGTACAGGTCATTGATGTCGGATCATGCATACATATTACGTACACATGTTTACGGGAGCACAGATTTGTATTTTAATGCATGTTTAGAAATTTGATTGTAGGATTTCAGTAATATTTACGAACTTGGAACATTGATTTTAATTTCGCAATCAAGCGGACCGCACGTGTCTCATCGATTAATTTCAGAAAATACATGAATTGGAGCAGATTTTTGCAGGGATGGATTTCTATTTCAGAAAGAAATTTGAACATAAGAAGGATTAGCATTTTACAATATAATATACGGGACTAAAAGCGATTTTCTTTTCATAGAAATGGGATAACTTAAAAAAAAAAATCAGTTGAAAAAAAAGGGGGGGAGTGTAGTGGTAGACTGTGGTTGATAATTGAGATAAGAAACATTTACAACATGATAGCTGCAAAGTTTGAAGTTTTAATAAGTAATTTGTTGATTCGACCATAACAAGGACATTGACCCTGCAATAAAATGACGCATACCATTTCGACAAAAAATTTCTAGTAAACACGTGTCGCGACAAACTTTTTGGTTAAATTGTTTTGTCGATATCTATAACTCTTTCTAGGAAGAAGTGATATGAACTTAATGTAAAAAATCACAACATGACCTTGACCTAGTTTTCTATTCTTTAGGACCAAGGACCTCAAATCAACAGACCCTAGGTCTCTATCACTTATGGTTTACCAGTTACAAATGCATATCACTTATTTCAAATGCATTATGGGAAATAACTCTCATATGGAGTCTTCGTATCGCTTCCGTCAAAAATGGACAAATCGTGCAAAGGATATAACGAGCAATTTTATAAAATAAATTTGTCGCTTTCTTTTACGGTTACGGAGGAGATGCAGTCACAAGGAAAACAGTGTTAGGGGAGATAACTCCTACAAAGAAAATTGTTCGGCTTAGAATGGGTGAAAATAAAAAGCGCATAAACTGTATGATACTATATAAGAAATATCTAAGCGACATCTTGCGAAACAAAAATTTTACGCGAGAACAAAATTTGGCGGAAGAAAATAATAATAATAATAATCAGAACAAATACAATAGGTCTTTCCACAGAAAAGTGGAAAGACCTAATAATCAGAACAAAAACAATAGGTCTTTCCACAGAAAAGTGGAAAGACCTAATAATCAGAAAAAATACAATAGGTCTTTCCACAGAAAAGTGGAAAGACCTAATAATCAGAAAAAATACAATAGGTCTTTCCACAGAAAAGTGGAAAGACCTAATAATCAGAACAAATACAATAGGTCTTTCCACAGAAAAGTGGAAAGACCTAATAATCAGAAAAAATACAATAGGTCTTTCCACAGAAAAGTGGAAAGACCTAATAATCAGAACAAATACAATAGGTCTTTCCACTGAAAAGTGGAAAGACCTAATAAAATATGTAATAAAGTAAGCGTAGTCTATCCTTATTATACCTTCATTATTTTAAATGTGTTAGGTAAAAACTGATGGAAAAACTGGGAATTCAGAAATGTATATATTCATGCGTAAAATGCAACAGGGCATAAACAAACTGTATAGCAAATATAAAACCTCTTAATTTTAAATAAAAACTCATATTTGAGACCGTCATCAAGGATTTGAACTATTTAATCATGGATGGATGCATTAATTGTGGAATTCACAATATAATTCTGTCCGATAGACCTTTAAGAAACCATGTGTCAACCTAACACAGACATGACAGAGGTAAATGCAATGATTTTTTTAAATAATTAGCTGAAAGCCAAATATCCCGAAACGTTTTTGTCTCAATACTGAATTCCAAATCAGCAACTAAAATGCATGTACAGGGGTGTCATGGGTAATTTAGTAACACTATGCAGACAGCTTTAGTTATTAAAGTAAGCATTTATCCCAACATCAATGATATCTAACAATAAATTCATTATTAGCCTCAATCAAATAGATAAAAATGTCCTTTCCAGAGGTCATACTTATTTAAACTAAAATATATTAAATGACATAAATTCATGTATGAATAAAAGAAATAAAACGATTTTAATTCAAACTGATAACTTTTTGTCAAAAATCAAAGTCTTTAATCCAACACTTAAAAAAGAATATCCCATTGATGGCTTGACTTTGTACAAAACTAGTGCATAATATATATACATTAAGCATGTTATTTGTCAAAATAAACAATTATAACTATTTGTATTTGTTTTTATTTCAGCCAGATTCCAATTTTTGGCTTATCCTAGAAGTTGCAAGACACAAATGTACAATATATGATTCTATATAGTAGCTGGATTGACTAGTGACACCACAATAATTCCATGACAGCAATGAAACTCTAGACCATTAGGATGTTTTGAAAATATATATTTCTACAGATCTGATTTAAGTACTTGTATCAATTTTGAAGATTTTTACCAGGTCTCATCATATGTCGACTAGTCAGACAAATTTTGGATCAGGTGTCTGACAGGAATTATTACAAAATTGCCAGTGGTTACAACACATGCATGTTATTTGTTATTAAGTTTGCCTATCAGTCCAGCTGTTTTTAGAGGCTGTCTAACGATACTTTCAGAACTATGATATGTCTGTGTAACTATTACTACAAAGAGAGAGATATAATTGCATACTACGAAGTATATCCAGTTATCATAAACTTTTTGCAACAAGTTATATAAAGAAAGTTTGAATTCATAATATTGATGCATTGTTCAGAAAATGAAATAGGTTGTAAATAAGAAGATGTGGTATGAGTGCCAATGAGACAACTCTCCATAATAGTTTGTATACTCACAATCCAAGAGCAAAGTTAAATTGTACCCAGGAGAATTGTTAATTTTAAAACCATCAGTATTTCGATTATGGATTTTTTTATTTACTGAATACATTTTTGTCACTTGTTTTAAATATCTAAGAAATGAAGAATATGAAAATAATAAAAAATGACGAACAAAATATTTGTATTAAATTCGTTGTAAATTTTATAGATTTGACACTTAGAAGTACAAAACTGTATATATTGCATCATTGATTAGAATGTTCCTCAATGAGTTAAATTCATTCCGCACTGTATATAGAAGTTGACAGAAGTTAACTACTATAGTTCATCGTACAACCTGCAACAATGAGCAAACCTATTCTGCATAGTAAGCTATAAAAGGCCCTGAAATGTAATATCTAAGAAATATTTAACAAACGTATAACAAGTCTACTTGGATAGAGAGTTGTTTCATTGGCACTCATACCACATCTTCCTATTTATATTAACAATATAACTAGCAGTCTGGTTTTGTACAAAAATGATAATGAAAAAAATATAATATACAGCAACAAATAACAACCACGGAATTACAGGCTCCTGACTATGGACAGGTACATGTACATACAGAATATTGCAGGTTAAACATGGTTGCTAGCGCCAAACCCTCCCCTAACCTGGAGTGTACATACACTTTCTCAGACATTGAATCTTTGAAAAAGGATAATATTTCAGAATAATTAAAAAAAAAATAGTACATAAATTTTTAAAACAAGCGGTATATAGGTTGATAAAAGTGTGTATGATAGTGGAAACAGTACAGTACAAACAAAATTGATACTTGAAATATAACAAGCTGTGATTGATTATTAAAACCATTTCTTCCACAATATTTATCATAACTTTTGCCTTGGGTTTTTGTTTAACTGCTTATAGCGCTCACAGTGCTTTAAGTATATTTTCCTATTATTAGGTTTATGTTTGTGTTAACTCTATTTTATATCAAACTTGGAAACAGTGAAGATCGTAGAATGCTGAAATGTCTACATATCTAATAGACCAGTGTTACTCTATGTCGAAAATCAACAGTAATCATTCTAATTTCGTGGTGTTCTAAAAAGAACATCTTTCAATAAAGTTTCTTAAAAAAAAATTCTTACTTAACTTCATCATAATATTTTCACATAAATGAAATAATGTGTTAATGTTCTTTTCAAATGGTAGTTGTAGATTTCAGATTGCGAATATGTTTTTATTATCGTTATACAACTAGTTTTTAAAATAATTACATTACATGTATGTGTCATTATAATCCGTAATTTTGATTGGTTTACAACGATGGCGAGGCACTCCTATGTCAAATGTTATTTCCGTATAAAATAGCTATGACTGCACGTACTATCTGTGGCAATGTTAAAATATTGCATTGAAGGAAAAGCTTGCTATAACTCTTAATTTCAAGGTTGCAGCATTAAAATGAAATTATAGGAATAAAAGGATTTTTTTATAAATGTTTATTGTTGTAAAAGCGTTGATCGTGCGCACATGCATCCCAATAAAACTATAAAAAGAGGCATTAGATTCTTAATTTTTTTTATAACAAAAAGGTATATGTGTCTGTGTGTGATTAAACTGCTATTACTAACTGATTTGTTTATTCAAAGGGAGAGGTAAAAATAAAAAAGAATCCAGACAGCACATGAATTTTACAAAATGCAGCAGATTACGTATATGAACACATTAATTCCATTGTTCTCTGTTAGTCTGTATATATTTCTTAATTGTTATGCAGTGCTACAGAATTCTATAGTGTACGTTTCATTTATTTTCAAATTGGGCTCACACTTGTCTTGTGGAACTAATAAGAGCACATTCATAAAATATGGTAAAAGAGAAATTAATCTACTTTTCAGGCGATAGCATAGACCTTACATGTTTAAAGGTAGAAGAAGATAAATCTTTGACACAGCTGAACAGGGTTATGGTTTCGGAATACAGCGAACTCTGTAAGAAGTTTATTTTAAGCATCGTAGGAAACGATGTCTATTCCAAGTTCTGTACACAGTATCCTGAAGAAGAAAAAGATATGTTAAGAGATTTCGAAAGCAGATATAGACAATTCTCATCTGCATGTCTTCGCAATGCAGAAAAAATATCATTACCTTTGCCGGGGAACTTTTGCCAATTATGTGTAAAAGATTTAGGTAAAGATTTTATTGATCACACTGTTTATTCCAATAAAATAAGATGGTTATCAGGTATGTTACGAATAAACACAGATTTATTTTTATCACTTTTTGATGAAGTAACAACCTGTGTTGTTAACTCGGTAAGAGAAATGTTGAAAGAACCTGATGTTAAAGACACATCTCATATTATTTTGACGGGACGATTAATGGAATTGTCGATTCTTTGCTGTAGAGTGCGAGAGACATTTCGCGACATAAAAATAATAGAATTTCCGTTCCCCGATATAGTTGCTTTGAAAGGTGCTGTTATTCTAGGACATTATCCGAAAGTTAGTTGTAAACGACTATTTTACCGTTTATAACTGCCCATATCAAAAACAAAAAAAATAATGGAACAAAAAAAGTCATATATATGTGTTATTTACAGTATATAATTTGAAGTTTTGAACATGAAATGTTAATATATTTAAGATATAGTTATTAATGTAATGTAATAATTTGGAAAATAGCAGCAGAAGTTGGATGTTTAAAATCATTGATATGATAAATTTCTGTAAAATGTTAAATTATTCGAAACCAAGGTTGTTCTACCCGCCAAGTTTAGATTGCCTTATCCATATTTGGCACAACTTTTTGGATTTTTTTGTTTTTAAAGCTCTTCAACTTCGTATTTGAATTGGCCTTTCAACTGTCTATTCGAGCCTCACCGATGAGTCTTATGTAGACAAAATGCCTGTCTTGTGTAAAAACTTATCAGCCAGTTACCTTTGATGAGTTTGTAAAGTATCATACTACTTTTGTATTTAGTATACTGACTTTGTATTTTTGCAGTCGATAGTTATTCAAGCCTATCTTATAAACTAAATTAAAAATAAAAGCATTAGATGTTACTTTGTTTTGACTTGATTATGTCTAAGTTAAGTCGATATTGCGTTCTTATTAATTTATTGCACACCAACAAGACACATACTAGGTATATTGTGAGAAGCATTTATAATAGAACGGATGAGAGTTTCACACCCGTAATTAACAAAACTATTATTTGTTTTCTACGGAGACAAAAATCATACTTACTCACCCTTTGTTACTTTTGAGACATCATTACTGTAATTAAATATCTGCAGACCTTATTGTGCGAATTAGTGGTCAGAAAATGGTTTACATAAAGAGGGACTTATTAATAATAGTCAAATTCATATATGGTCTACTTTTCCTGAAGGTGTGGGAACCTTAATTTCCTATATATTTGTTAATTTATCAACGGAGAAATTTTAGAATATTTCTAAATCTCATCCGACTTCTGAGCTGATGATACCCACATGTTCAAACAGTCAACTAGAAGGGATAACTGCCTAGTGTTATTAGATATAAAAAAAAAACACTTCGCAGATAAATATATAACGAAGATCCAACATATACATCTAATTCTGCCTCATAGAATTTGACACTGCTGGTCGATTGAGAATAAAACTTTACGTCAAAACATATGATTTCAGATTCCCATTGTGATCCTTCAATTTTATTTGTAGCAACGTTCCAGCAGCACTTGCATATGGAATATATATCTCCTATTTGATTCAATATTCTACAGCTATTTATCATGAATTTCTTTGTATAGGTTTGCTGCTTATAAGGAAGCTATCTAACCAAAAGTTCCAAGTGGGGTGTTTGATATCATTGTTTCGAAAATTTTACGGACGCCATCATTAGTCGGTTGACCGTTATGGAATATGTTTCACAACCTTTCTAACCACGATCCCGCCCTCTTTTCCCCGAATAGACCAACCGAATCAGACTTATCACCGCGTTTGTACTTACATGAGCAACACGACAGGTGCTCCATGTGGATTTGCTTACTCTGCAGGAGCACCTATGATCAACTGAGATCAACTCCGATTTTGGTGAGGTTCGTGGTGCTCAGTCTTTTGTTTTCTATGTTGTGTTTTGTGTACTGTCTTTTCGTCGTTTTTTCGTTATTTCCATGGCATTGTCAGTTTGTTTTCGATTTATGAGTTTGAATGTCCCTTTCATATCTTTCACCTCTCTTATACATTCAAGTTTCTACCCCAAGATAGATTACCTAAGCTTTATTTGGCAAAACTTTCGGAATTAAGGGTCATGAATGCTCTTCAACTTCGTTCTTTGTTTGGCCTTTTTAACTTTTTCTATTCGAGCCTTACTGATGAGTCTTTCGTAGACAAAACGTGCATCTAGCGTACAAAATTCTTTTATCTATGATGAGTTTATTTCTAAGACAAATCCTTGTTTCTACGATAGAATTAAAGGGAAACTCCGCAAAAAAATGAAAAATTGATATTTTGTTCTTTAAGCATAAAAAACCACATGTTCATAAATAAAAAAACTTTTATTCTCTATGAAAAGAGATCAAAATCGATTTTTGAAATTCACTATCAGTTCTCGACATATCGCCATCTTGTCGGCATGTTCGATCTAAAAAGTCACGTGATATCTATAAACCACAAAGACCAAAATGAATCGGGGATTTACCGACCGTGCGTTAAAAACTCCCATCATCAATCGGGGATTACCGTAGATGATCACCCATTGTGAAAATGTCTTATCAAGCGTACGGTTGTTCTGTCCGATAAGGTTATGACAAAAGTCTAAATAGTTTTCCTTAACCCACAAAAAAAGAAAATAGTTATGATCTATAGCAAGCACAAGTTGATGTGTGAAGACCATTTTGAACAATCTTGTTTCGAGGGAGATTTGATGGTAATTATACTTTTTTTAATAACAAAATAACCTAGCAGTTCTGATAGCTATAGTTATCAAATCCTTATATGATAAGATCTCGTTGATTCAATAAAATATAGATTTGATGAGGAAGAAAAGTTTCATTTAAAAGAAAGACAAATGCAGTGTTCTTGTAACAATCACTGATTTACAAAAGATTCATTAGTATGCCTCTTTTATATAAAGTGCATTGGTTTATATAAAGAATAGTTCCGTATTTAGTCAAGTTAATTTTTTAAATTAATAAAGTTATACGATAAATAACATTTTTAAATTATGATATTTAACGGATATCGACGGGGAGCAATGTTAGGAAGAGGTTTTAGCTAAGACAAAATATGTTGATATAGTATAATATTCCCAGGTTATAGAAATGTAAATATCGAAATATTGGACATCTCATTTTTTTATCAAAAAAGTTTTTTATCTATATCAAATTGATACGGGATCAATTCGGAACTGTCACTTATAAAGACACTTTACAGTTAAATATGTGACCCTATCTGGTATGTTTGGAAAAAAATGTATATTTTTTTTTCTTTTTGAATTTTATTTACGTTATCTTATTATATATATATATATATATATATATATATATATATATTTTGGCTTCCTCCCGAATTGATAATAGGTACGTCAGAATTATTGATAGATGTCGTGTCAGAGCGACACATTCAGTTAGTTATCCCAAGGACGTATATTAGATACACGTCCTTGGTAATTCCAGTGACATGCTGTCGACTAAAAATTCCTATTACACAATATATTATACAGGTCCATACATGGCTTCTTAATTGAGGTACCCGACGTGCACAGGTAACATTTATTGAACCACATATATTTGTGTTCGACGTTATTTATCTTGTGCGTGTTTGAAATTATAATTCCACCTGTTAATGAATGATGTTCTGATAATAATATTATCCACTATTTTTGCTGATAATAAGTTTAAAAATTTTATAAACATGATCTTTAAAAAAATTTGTGAAATACATTTACTGTTTTGTCATGATTCTGGACCCTTCTTTTGAAAAAAAAAATTCTTCACGCAAATGCAAGCTTTTGACGATTGGCAAACATGCAGTATAAAGTAATGCAGCACTTATAGTCAGTATCAAATATTTATTTATTGACGATAAGAGAGCTCCTTCTATGTCTAATGTCCCTATCTTTATACGGATTAGAACGACAGGGGAAACAGTCACTGTAAAGGAACGAAGATAGAGTGGCATAGTGAAAAAAAATAACCGATTAGAGAAAATTATACTACATAGAGAATGATCGACGAAAAGGGTAATAGTTATTGTAAAGGAAAAGAGATAAAGAGAGGCATAATAAAAAAAGGTTTGCTAGACAAAGTTACTGCTCGCTTTGATATTTTTATACAAAATCACACATCGTGTTCCAAATTGGTATTCACGTGCGCTAACTTGATGGGTTAAGTTTCTGCATAGCATGGTTAAAAATAATTAAGTATCCCATTTGTTATATCGTAGTGTCACTAGTACGACTCGAGTATAGCATGTAAAAATCCTACTCAATATGGTTGTATTGGAAATCTTTTCATACAGATAGATAACTCATAGTCTAATTTGCCACATGACGCTCATATTTCTTTCTACTATCATCATCTTATTCATTAAATATTGCTGTAAGCATCGATGGTTCACACCCAAACCAAATGGGAGTAATATACCTTTAGAGCTTCTCCGTGGTATACACTTGTCACAAATATATAGACGAAATTCAGTGAATCTACATCTCACAACCACAATTTTTGAATTACGATTTTGAGTGAACACCCACCAAACCAATACAAAATGGCAAGATATAACCATGCAGGCATTTAGTTTTCGTCAGACACAAGATAAATAATACGCTCATATTGCTTTCTACTATCATCATCTGCTTCATCAAATATTGCTGATAACAACGATGGTCCACACAAAAAAAGGAATTATATACAATCAGAGCTTCTCAGTGGTATACACTTGTGAAATATATAGACGAAATTCGGTATTGAGAAGTGAAATTACATCTCACAAACATTATCTTTGAATTACGATTTTGAGTGAACACACACCAAACCAATAAAAACGTATAGCAAGATACATAACCATGCAGGCATTAAGTTTTCGTCGGGTACAAGATAAATAATCGCTCTCATAAACGTACATGCATGCAGTTTATGCTATCAAGAATAAGAGGTCGATGTCTGTAGATCATTGTTCAGTTCGTTTACTGACTGTTCAGAGTCAGACATGTCACTTACTCATTCTTGGAAGCATTCGTGTACCCCATCCGACGATAGGAACTCTTTTCCGATAGTGTTGACAACTATGCTTGTATGGTGATTCTGTTTTTCTGGGCAAGTGGTTGGCCTCCCCTGACCCAACAAACAAACGAACGATACGCTATTAGTCTGCTTTGTCCTTTAGAAAGAACATCTGGAGCTCGTCTTCAACGGCGCTTATACCTCAGAAAAAGTATATTAGTACAGCTTGTTTCAAGGAGACGAACTGTTCTAAAATCGTCATTGTCAGCAATACATTACTAAGCTATGCCATTAATTACTACAATTACTATTTTGGATTAATGACGGCTACCCTGTAGAGTATTACACTAAATTATAATATAATATAAAAATGATTATATTTAATTTTCATATGCTCAAACCGTTAAAGACAATTAGAACACCTCATACAAAAAACAGATCAAAAGAAAAAAAAAGAAAATAAAAATTTCCAGACGGAATAAACAATTATTTTAATAGCTTAGATTTATAATAAATGAAATAAATGATAATTGGCATTCTTTTCACAAATCATTATTCTAAGAGATTGTTAGTTGAATTTATTATGTAGGAATGAAGTTTTAAAAAGAAGATAAAAAATCATGCATGTTGTACTATTGTATTTTTTCAATAAAAACTTTTAAATTGCGATAGTTTTTCGATTGTTAGCATTTAAACATCGCTAGATTTAAATACAAGTTAAAGAATTCCGGCAAAGTAAATTAAACAGATGTGCAATTATTAATTGGGAAATGTTAAATTAATTTTCTTTTAACTTCATATTTTAATTTTATGCTAATTGCATAGAGCGTAATCGAAAATTGTTCCATTTCAAAATACACTTCCGGAATTAAAAAAATTGAATGTTTATTTTCAATTAATTTATACATTTTAATAATTGTTTCTCTATTGTCATCGGGTATTTCAGCTTGGTGTATTAAACACGCTATACTCTTTCTGTTAATCCATTCAAAATGACAACATTCACACCTGTGTACGCTTGAATTCACACCTGTGTACGCCTGAGGCTAAATTGCTGCAAGGTAAAGTTCCAACGAATTCTCCTCAAATCGATAAATAAACAATGACTTTACAAAATAATATACACACTCTGTTCACAAATATTTTGCCTTGAAATGGTTACCAAAGTTATAACGGTAAATAAAACCGTTTAATATCAGTCAAAGTGTTCAACAGATATTTTATGAAAAAATCTCAACAATAATTTATGAAATTAATTCGAAAATATTTATATTTAGATAACTTCATATAGGAAGTTTTATTCAATCAATACAAATGGTACACACATATTCATTTTCTTTCATTCTTATATTGTGGTTATTAACTACGACCAACGGTTATCTGTGCGCTTTTAATTACGTAAAATTCTGATAAGCTATTAAGACTTTAACAGATTTTATTTTTTCCCATGATTCAACAAATCGGGTTAAAACGTCACAACCCAGTGACGTAGGTCAACCAAAAAAGTTACAAATACTTGATTTTCTCCGTTATTAGAAAGAATATAAATTTAAAACTTTGTGAATGTGTTTTTTATGTTAAGATGAACATATTTAGATGATAAGTAAAAAATCGTGGACTTTCCCTTTAAGTAAACGTTTTAGGTAATTTTAGGTAAGGTAAGTCATACATAGGTTTTGTTCGTTGAAATATAAAAGACACTTCAGACTCGGGCATATCGAGTTTGAAAATACACACATCGAAAAAAAAGGGCCAAAAGAAAAAACATTGTAAATTATTCAAACAAAGGAAAAGACATTTTTGCTATTTACATCACATTTATTAAGATTATTTATTATAAGATGCGTATTTATATATGTACCTGAATGATACAGCAACCAAAAACTATAAGACATCTAAAGGTTAACAAATAGTCTCCAACCATAGACAGTGGCCTACTTCGAGCGTTTACCATAGTTTAGTTAGTTGAGATCGAATTAGTGCGCATGTCTAGTTGATAAATTCGCAAAACGCATTTCCCGTGTATATATTTTGTAAACATTACGGTGTTGACTAGCCCTACTTCGGGCGTTATCTATAGTTAATATAGTCAATTCAGAGTTTGCCAAATAAAGTTAGGATTCAAATTTTGAACTCTAAAAAGTTAACTAACAAAAAAAACGAACTCCGAGGAAAATTCAAAAGGGGAAGTCTCAAATCAAATGGCTAAATCAAAAGCTCAAACACATCAAACGAATATAATTAACTGTCATATTCATGACTTGGTACAGGCATTTTCTTAAGTAGAAAATGGTGGATTAAACCTGGTTTTATAGCTAGCTTAACCTCTCACTTGTATGACAGTCGCATAAAATTCAATTATATTGACAACAATGTGTGAACAAAACAAACGGACATAATAGGTAAAAATGTCAAAAATAGGGGTACGTCAGTCAAATTGTGTTATAATCTTAATCACTGTAAAACAATCAAATATATCAACAAAGAAAAACAAAAAGGCATATAGACAAAGCACATTAGCAAAAACGAAAGACAAGAATAGAAAAATTTACCATAGCACAATAACACAATGACGGGATGTATAAGTACTGAGCCACGTCAAATGGATATTACCAAAAATAGACTAAACTGTAAAAGTAATAATTTACAAAGAAAAATACAAGAATACTATATTACGTTATTAAGATGATAAACAACGTCAGTACATAGAATCTATACTTCAAGACCATCGTGTATTATTTGTGAAGTTGATACGGATTATTTATCAACAAGGTCTTGGTATTTTTAAAAAAAGTACGATACGTTCTTTGACATACCCCTGGTTCATCAACTTCTGCTCAGACACTGTTGACGTTTTACAATGTCTGAGTAGCAGCGGCAATTTCTTGAATACCGAATGAATTGGGAAATGTATAGCCAATATGCAGGTGAAGTTGGTATATTGCTACTAAGGTGGGGGAAATTGGTAATTAAAAAATAAAATCATACATTTTGGTACTGAGATGACCGCGTATGTCAAATTCGAGGTACTAGTATAAGTCTAAAAATGAGGCATGGTAAGCCTTGTCTGTTTGGTTTTTTTTTTTGTTTTTTGTTTTTTTTGTTTTTTATTTCTTGTTCTGGAGAATATATTAATAGAACCCAATCAGAAAAATTTGGATTGTTAATGGAAAGAACATCATCAATATATCTGAATGTGAAATTAAATGATCTTGCTTCTTTGATCTTTTTGTTTTTGTCATTTGTCTGAAGGAACTCCGGGTCATATGAAAATAAGAAGAGGTCGACAAGGAGAGGCGCACAGTTCGTTCCCATAGGAATGCCGGCAATTTGTTGAATAAGTCTACCTCCAAATTCAACAAACTAAACGCACGTTTTGTCGAATAAAAATAAGTTAACTTTTGCTCGACCATAATGACATCATCAATGAAATATAACACGATATGATCACCCATATTTCTGATGTGGATTATATTATTCAGGTTAAATCATATCAAAACAACAAACAACATGAAAAAAGTGCATCTTGCCGTGTTTTAGATAATTATAGGAAAATGTTGGGAGTTAGATACAACATTTTCAGATTAATCTAATGGCCTCGCCACAATTGTCGGCCATTTTACAAAATTGAGAAACCCGAGCAGAACCGGGTCGAACTATAGTTTGGTGGTGACCTTATTATGGTCGAACTAAAGTTAATTTTGGTGAACTCTAGTTTAACTATATATTAATTATAGATAGCTCTCGAAGTAGGCCATTATGTCAAGCTCTAAATTGGTCGAACTAAAATTTGCATATGCTATACATTTATTGCTTTGTGATACCATGCGGCATATTTTGTTAATAATGAACAAAAAGGTATAAAAAAGCTACACCGAGGAACCAGCGGTTAGTATGCTGCAGATTCTTATTAACAACATATTTGGTGAATTTTGAGTTTTCGTTTGCAAAATATTGTCGGGATTCCTATGGAAACGAATTTTGCGCCTCTCTTTGTTAACCTCTTCTTATTTTCATATGAGTCGGAGATACTTCAGACTCTTATCAAAAACAAGAAGATCAAAGAACCATGATCATTTTATTTCACCTACAAATAAATTCATGTTATTCTTTCCATTATCAATTCAAACTTTTCTGATTGGGTTTCATTTATATATCCTTCCGAATTAAAATCAAAGAAACAACAAACACGGCGTCATTTTTAGACTTATACCTCGAATTTGACATAATCGGTCATCTCAGTACCAAAATCTATGACAAACGAGACGATTCTAATTTTGAAATTATAAATATCCCCACCTTTGCAGCAAAATACCAACTTTACCTACACATGGGATATAAATTACCCAACTCGTTCGGCATTCAAGAGCTTGAAGCTGCTACTCTTTATAAAAGGTCTGAGCAGAGAGTTGATGAAGAACATTTATGTCAAATAACGTTTCGTACTATTTCTAAAAAAAAGTTAATCGCAAGATACAAAGTCCTTGTTGATAAATACTCCGTATCAACTTCCCAAATAATACATGATGGTCTTGAAGTATAGATTCTAGGTACTGAAGTTGTTTATTATCTTAATTACGTGTTATAGTGTTCTTTTTATTTGTCTTTTGATATTTTTAACGTTTACTGTTCAGTACATTATTGGTAATATCGGTTTATATACATCATTTTTTTTGTTTTCTTGTCCTTCGTTTTAGCTTGTTTGATGCCATTTTGTTTTTCTTTGTTGAAATAATTGGCAATGTTTGTTTTTAAGTGATTAAGGTTATAACACAATGTTGACTGCTGATTCCCAAATTTTGACATTTTACCTATCGTGACTGTTTGTTTAGGTCTCATATTGTTGTCAATATAACTTTATTCTATGTGACTCTCATACAAGTGAGAAGTTAAGCTAGCAATAAACCAAGGTTTAATCCACCATTTTCTACATAAGGAAATGCATGTACCATGTCAGGAATATGACAGTTGTTTTCAATTTGTTTGATGTGTTTGAGCTTTTGATTTTGCCATTTGTTAAGGGACTTTCCGTTCTGAATTTTCCTTTGAGTTTTTTTTACTTTTCTATTGTTTTTACCTATTTCAGTATTTAGTTGTGTTTTGATTAACAAAGGTTAACTCCTATAAAAAAAAGTCGAAAAATAATGCAATAGAAATAAAGATGTGGTATCATTGCCAATGAGACAACTCTCCATCCAAGTCACAATGTAAAGAAAGTTAACAATTATAGGTCTAAGTACGGCTTTCAACACGGAGCCTTGGCTCACGCCGAGCAGCAAGCTATAAAGGGCCCCAAAAAAACTAGTGTAAAACAATACAATCATAAAAACCAACGGTCTTATCTATATAAAAAACTAGAAACGAGAAACACCTTTAACACACACCAACAAACGACAACCACTGAACAACAAGCTTCTGAGTACGTTTATATGATCGTGATTTCTTTGACTAAGACTGAGCAACACGACCCCGACCAACTTGTATGACGGTTGTTTATAGTTATGTTATATGAACCCAATTGAATGAGCATCACAAACACACACAATAAGTTAATGTGATAATAATTGGGACCCAGCAGCCCAAACTGTGTAAACATACATCACAGACATAGAACACAACTGACTAAAAAAATCAAACACACATACAAATAAAACTAACAAACACGCCAACAAATAAGTTGAAGTTGATAGTAAATTTGACATGACGTCAACAAAAAAATTTTTGTAGTTGATGTGAATATATTAGTAATAAATGTCACAACTGATAAATCTATATGTAAAATCTACAATTAGCCAAATGTGATGTCATATCATATAATACAGCCAGTATATGATATTGAATATAATAAACACAAGCGGAAAAAATGCTCTTGATAATTTGTCAATAGATCTTGCAGTGTCCTTTCTCTTTGTGTCTTGCTTGGTATTCCTGACCTAATCAATTAACAAAAGAACAAGTTAACGCTAATTCAAACATTCAACGGAATTAAATGCGTGTTGTTAGTGAACTAGCGCTGTGTGCAGATTGTTGAATTGACCTAAGTTCAAAGCTTTCATGCTATTGTTCTTGTTACAATACAAGATGAAGGTGTACAGTTTTCGATGACAGCTTAGCTTTATATTTGCAGTTTGTTATATCGTTGTTGATCTTTTTTGTACGATTATGAATCAATCAAATTATCGGAATCGGGATTTGCTTATCCTTCCAAAGTATCTGAGATTGCCCTGATTTTTAGTAGAATTCGTGTTGCATGGTCTTGAGTTTTCTATGTTGTGTTTGCCATGGTGTTGTCAGTTTGTCGTCGACTTGAGTTTGAATAACACTTTGGTGTCGTTTGCCTATCTTTTATATAAGAGATTCTTGTTAATTTCTTACCAATTCCTATATTGATGAATCAAATGAAACACAATTGTTTAAATCAGTATTATCATTACTAAATATACTTATCATATAGCTGTAACTCTTTTATTTTATAATAACCGTAAATATACCTGTCCATTCAATATTGTGTGAGGGTTCTGTATTGTTCTTAATCGTTCTATTGTTCTTCTTTCCTCCACTCGTTCAATCATAGCAACATATGCGTATTCTATCATTGCACCGAAAACAAACAACAAACACACAACATTCCATATGTCTATGGCCCTCACATATGAAACACGCTGTGTTAATCCTACACTGAAATGACCATTAGTGGACACTGACAATACTGTTAAAATACCAAGAGATACTCTGGCTGGTATAGCGTCTGTGTTCAACCAGAAAGATACCCATGAAAGCACAACTATTAATGCAGATGGTGCATAAACTTGAATTAGATAGAATCCATATTCCCGTTTCAGGTTTACGTTGACACCAATACACGTATAGTTTCCTGGAAATAATTCAAAAACATTTATATTAATCGACGTCCAGATTAGTTCCAAATAATTACGAATAAACAGCAAAACACATTTAACAGCCCAAAAATAATGTTAGCTACAAGTCGCAATTCCGATTAAAAGTTTTGAACATAAATTTCAAAGATTAATCATTTTGTTCAATACATTGACGATTTTTAGTACTCATCGGATTCTGTGTAGATAACCTTTTGTATTATAATAAGATCCATCATTGTTTGTTTTATCTTGTTCGGCATGCAATTCACTATTGTAAGGTAAGTTATACGGAATTTTACACTTTCTCCGTAAGAAACTTTTCAATAATGCATTTCAGTAATTTTTATCACTTTAACAATCTCCTGAAACAGACACCTTGCGAACAGGAGTGCTACCTGGCATTCTTATTGAAGTTGGTATAAATAAGTTTGGAGAGGCATAGCAATAAAAAGCTTTTTTTAAACCCATATATCTTTTGGTGTAGCCATTCGGCATTTTTGACTTCGTCGAAGTTCTACTTTGGGATCCTTTCCATCAGTGAAAGCAACGATCACAATTTTTGAAGAAATAAAATCTACAATTCAAAATAATTGAAATTTACCTTCTGAAATTCCTGTAGATGATCATATTTTCCACAGTAACTTAGTCTAAGATTTGCTTTTGTCATTTGTAAATGAAAATAACTCTTTTTCTAATTTCATAAGCACGAAACGCTTTTTTCCATTTACCACCATCATGATCTCTCAAACACAAACATTTGAAAGCCAAAGATGTATAAATACATAGAAACGAAAGTATATAGTATATCACAATTAACATGTATACCAATGCCTTTGTCTAGGTTTTGACTACAGGGCGAATGCTTCTTAAGTGCACAAAAAATTGTCCAAACATCCTATTTTGTTTTTTTATTCTTTCATTATTTTCTATCTTATGAATCTTCAAAGCACAAAAACTATGAGCAAAATATAGGTAAAATGGTTACAAAAAAGCAAACAAGACATTCATAAATCAGTTATTTATTGAGAAGTAAGATGGTTGAAAAGTATAGTGCAGTAAATCATGACTTATGATACTTATTATAAACTTGCTAAGCTTTAGTTTGTCAGTTTTTATAGACTTCCTTCTTTTTAAAACTTTTTGGAGATCAGTATAAGAGAGAGCCGAAAAATACCAAAGTGATATTCAAACTCATAAATAAAACACAAATTGACAATGTTGTGGCAAATAAAAAGAACGAAAAGACAAACAACAGTACAAAAAACACAACATATAAAACTGAAGACTGAGCAACACGTTTTTGTTAATACTTATTTGTTCTTTTTTTATAATTTACAGTGGGGAACATTCAGGTTTTATATACTTTACCTCGGTTCTCTACTTTCAAATTTCTAATGATTTCTTGTAAAAAAACAAGCCAAAGAAAAATAGTAGGAAACATGTAAGCAGTTAAGTCTCAGTGACCTCATTGTTCGACGAACCTCACATTTTACAATTAAAACTAATAAAACTAAACTGTTTAACCCATCTGAAAATATGTTTACAAATCTATAGAATCTAGAATTTGCACCCCAAAAAAAGATATTTTACGAAGTTTACTCAACTTTTTCTAATTTATTTAAAGGAATGTAAAAAGTAAAATAACAAAAATACCGAATCCCAAGGAAAATTCAAATCGGAAAGTCCCTTATCAAATGGCAAAATTAAAAGCTCAAAAACACCAAACGAATGGAAAACAACTGTCATATTCCTGACTCGGTACAGGCATTTCCTTATGCAGAAAATGGTGAATTAAACCTGGTTTTATAGATAGCTAAACCTCTCACTTGCATGACAGTTGCATACTATTCCATTATATTGAAAACAATATGTAAACAAAACAAACAGAAAAACTGGTAAAACAGTCAAAAATAGAGGTACAGCAGTCAACATTGTGTTATAATCTTAATCACCATAAAAACAAACAAATATGCCAACAAGGAAAATCAAAATGGCATATAGATAAAGCACAAATGTAAACATGAAAGACAACAATACAAGAAATGACCACAGCACAACAACACATTGGCGGGATGGATAAGTACCGAGCCATTTAATTTCGTCGATAAATGTAATGTTTTATTCCTTATTTCGTCATGCCAACGTTTTAATTAGATTTTGAATTGTTAAAAATTTTCATCTCGATCATAACTGTATATAAATTAATTTTTCGTACGTGTATGAATGATTGGAATGAAGCTTAATATGCATATACAAATTTAAGAAGAGGGCAAGGATAAAAAGATTGCAATCAAAAACCATAAGTCAAATTTGAACACACAACACTACGGATGAATAGAAAAACGTTTTATAGGCAAACAACAGTAATAAAACAATACAGAAATAAAAGATTAAGCAACACTAAACAGGGGATGAATGAACTCAGATGCTCCAAGATAGTAAGCAGTTCCTGTTCTACGTTTTGATAATCACCTTATCATGTTTTAATTTCTATTGTTATTTAATTTTCAAATTAGTTTAACAATTAAAATAGTTTTACCTGATGGATATTCCTTATCACAAATATATGATTCAGATGCTTTTATAGTAAATTGACTGTTAACAATACCATCTTTAAATGTCATAGCAGGCTCCATCCACCGTAAACTAACTGTAGATGCTGAAAACCCATCTAAAAAGGAATCAGAGTAAAAGTTAACACTGCAATGGTGATCTTTTACTTATGAAAACTACCTGATGAATTAGTAATAAAGGGTTGCATTTTTATTTTTTTGAAGCAATGTCCCTAACTACAGTGGATTTCCCCAAATTCTATAAATGTCATAAAAGCTGCGTAATAGCAGTAAGCCATGCAATGTATTCACTATACATTTGTCAAAATTATTTTATAATGAAATAAAATAGTTTAGTTTTCATGTCTACTACAAGAGAATAATGTAACATGTGTAACCTTGCTTACAATCAAAATGTCTATGTCACCCTTTACACATGTATTCCTAATTCTAAATTTAAAGAAAGATTAAACGAATACAATTACATTTCCAGGAAGGGAGTACTGTATAATAATCTCAAGTACAATTCAAAACAAAAATATTCGTTCCCAACAAAAGCGTGAATTTTATTTTCTAAAGATGTCTGAGCGAAAGCTAGTAACTTCATATTTTAGTTTTTGTTGACATGGTAAAAAGATTCATAATAAAATTCGAAAAACAAATCTGGAAACAAAAACTTTACGAAAGAGGCAATTAATTTTCATGCTATCGAGGAGCAAAATATCATATCTTAACTATTCGCACGACAATTTTCTCAGTAGACCAATTTTTTACAAATTTTAAGAAATCCATAAAAAAAAGTCTTTTCAGTTAGTTTGCAAACTAACATAAACTTAACTGAATTTATAAAAAAAAAATAATCATTTCCTGTACTCTTTGTTTTTCAATATGACATCTCAAAATAACCCATTGATCAGTAAATGAATGAAAGAACTTTGTAAATACATCATCAGTGTCTAAGCAGTGTCATTTTTATCCCGATTCGGAAAAATATTAACCCATTTCGCCAGAATGTAAAGTTAACTTTCTTGGATCAAAAGTAATTTTTCTTGATTCAAGTGTAAACATATTGTATCATACTTTCTTTGTATTAAAAAATAATCATTAAATAGGTTTGCTTATTATGTCGAAGAATTTCCAAACAAAACAATTGAATAATCATATAAATATTATTTCATTCAAAATCTACAATAAAGAACCTTAAGGTGTTACATAACATTAGAGGGAGATAACTCTGTAAAAATCTGCTTACAGTTTTAATCACGTTCTATTGTTAAGGCAATATTAAGCTTCTCCATGAACAAAATAAGTCAAATTGCTATATATTCAATGATTTTTTTCCAATAAAGTGTGTTGTTCAAGTTTTTTGAATTTTCTATTTTTTCTAAAGTGTCAAAGTATATATTTTGTCTAAATTGTATGATAATTAAAAAAGCCAAATTTTAGTCAAGGTGTTTGGGACCACCTTACGTTTAGAATATAGATATTATTATACTTACAACTCTCCATCTCCAATAAGCATGACTGTTCGTCAAATGGAAACGTTTGTAAGTGCATGAAACAAGTAAATGTTCCAGTTACTCTGAAAATCATCAAATATATCGTTACAGTCAAATGATAGTAATACAACCGTTTAAAATGAAAAATATTGAACCATATATAAATTTACACTGTCTTAACATTCAACGTTGGCCTCATATTGGATATCGTGGGCTACTTGCCCTCAAGTTTGACTTTATTTTGAAGATATTAGGACAAAAAATGATACATACAGGAAACAATTAAAGTCATGTGCTAAAGACAGACAATGAACACCATGTCAAAAACAAATATGAAAAAGACAATCTATGGAACTTCTTGGAAGTATTATATTCCCTTACAACAGACAGAAAACAGGAGATTTGCAAAGTATCATACCATCATAACCTAATACATCATGTACTGTGTGTCACCCCTTTATAAGGTAACATGGAAAGGCATTATTTTACTAACGAAAGCTGTATTTTTATAGCCTAGTTTGCCTAGTGGTCTAGTAGCTGGACACAATGAAGGTGGTGTTACCACAGTAGCTACATACAACGTTTATCGTAATGTGTGATGTAAGCCCTGTACAGTTATTGTTTATTCGATGACACATGTCATGGACTCAAATTCCACTGTTACCATTGGTGTTCTCGTGGTACCGTGATCGAATCGAGTGCCAAATGTCGTTAGTTTCATCCTCGGCCAGATCAAAACAAAAACTATATATTTGGTATTTTCTACTTTTTTGTTAGCACACGGCATTTTAAGGAATAAGACTGCGTGGAGTAGAGTGGAAATAATGTTATTGCATGGGTAGGTTGACGTGTCTTACAACGGACTGTTACGTTGTGGAGTAGTAGAATAAAAAAAAAGCTCATATCAAATAAGGTTTCATAATCTATCGAATTATTACGTTATCGATCCGAATGTGCAATTAATTGTCATTTGGAAGTTAAACCGCCATCTTCAAATTGTTGGGAGAACACAAATGTGCCACTTTTGGGCTTACTCTCAGACTAATTATGCGTTTTTGCGATTGCGTGCATTACCTATATTTTGCGATAGAGAACTTCTGTCATACAGTTTTCAAATACGTGATGTCACACACTTAGCTTTGTTAATAAATATTGATACATTTGTGTGTGTTTGTGTATATGTGTGTGACAAATAATTAGGAGATAACGAAAATCGTGTTCGTTGCTATTGCCGAAATCTTTATTCGTTTGTTTATGTCACCACAATGTAAAGCTTTCATGTACTAAGTAAATTTGACAATATTACTATTGATTCGAAGCAGCGAGGACATCTTTATGTATTTCCGAAATCTTTACTTTTAATGTGACTTCTAGTTTCATGGTTTACAATGTCCTTATTTTACCCATATGTTTAATATATATATATATATATGGGACAAGGAGATATCTAATGATAACTTATGCCTGTACAAAATCGGGAAAATGACAGTTGTTTTCCAGTCGTTCCGTGTTGGTTGATATAGTCAAGCGCTTGAATTTGCTTATGGACTTATGACTTTACCTTAGAGTTCAGTAATTTTGTTAATACATTTTTTATACCTTAAACTATACGATACAAAACCATTCGGGTGTAGAAACATCATCTTGTTAGGAACAGTAACTTCATGAATTTGTGTATCCATGTCAGTCATGAACGATAAATCAGGAACCCATATACAGTCTTGGATAGAGTGGTCTAGTTCGATTCTGCTGATTTCTGAAGGAGCGGAAAACGTCAATCGTGGATCTATCCATTGTTGTCTGAGGTACATACTCATAGAAAATTTCTGTGGAATTAATTCACATAATTAACTACGTACCAAGTGACATTTAAATACGTACTTTTATGTCGTTTTTGTCATTTTACATCATGCAGGCTTTAATTAAATGATGCACTTATACCAATGTACAAAAAGATTAGGTATGTACATTTACAATGCAAATAAATTAAAGTTATGTTTTAATGTGCACTTATCTTGATAGATCAAAATGTCGATGCATCATGTGCCTTTTTCAACAAAACTGTTTTCAGTGTTGATTAACGAAAAGCTAATCAGTAATTATAATCTTTATACATTTAACTCCAATTGCGGAAAAATTACTTCAGGCGTTCACGATTACACCCCTATTTACAAAAGTATACCACATTTTATCATTATTTATTCATTGTGCACTGAATATCACGTTTGTGATAGAAATACTGTTGTTTCCTTCTTTAATGGAGTGAACATATAGTATTTTGTTTATATTCGACAACCCCTTAAAAAGGAAAATTAAATGTCGAAATGTACCCAAAGTACAAAAAATAAACCCATAAGAACTATAAATATCGCTAAACCGAGTGACCCTTTGGTATCTTTCGACTCTTTTCTACTCTTGGCGAAAATCTTCAGAAACATATATTGATTATTTTTCCTCCTTCTTGTCCTGCTTAATGAAGTATCTTTACAAATATTTTCTCAACTTTAAGTCGAGTTATATTATTTGTTATTTAGGTTGACATATTCCGTTGGTCGACAGTTAAAAGAATCTTTGACGATACATATAATTTATATTTTATTGCTTAAAATGTAGATAATATTGCTCATTTGCTAGTCATTTCTTGATTGCGTATTGTTGGTTATGATTATCATTATACATTTCTTTCTATAATACTTACCATTTCTGATTCGTCAATTCCAAATACGCCAACAACATACATTTGTACTTTGACCTCTGTGGGAATTTCTGCAGAATGCATGGAAAACATCAGGAGATAAATAGGTTTCTGGTAACATCGCAATGTTTATATACCAGTTCATTTGTGACTTTTGCATTTACAAAGTTGTATACTAAGTTGGCAAGCCAACAGTTAACTTATTTTAGTATTGTGTTCAGGAAACAAAAAAGGAAATAAGAATATATGGTGTATTCTTTTATTGAAGCTGTGAGATACAAGTTCAACAGTTACACAATGGAAAATGACTTATCGTGTCGTTTCATATTCACATTTAATATGATATTCAGAGGCTAGCGTTTCTTTATACGATTCGTTTGATTTCTTAAGTAGAGAGGTGATTTTTTTTGGTTTTTTTTTGACGAAAATGATTTTAAACCAAGGCTTCTTTAAGATATATATTTTAAAGTATTATTATTATGAAAATGCGATTACAAAAGAGACGGAAGATACCATGGGAACATTCAAAACTCATAATAGGAAAAAAAAGCTGACAGTCCCACGGCAAATAAAAAACCAACACGACGAATACGTTCATAAAACCCTACTTACAAAACTAAAGATTGAATAACACGTACCCCCACCAAACAACGCGGGTAAACTCAGTTGCTCCGGGAAGGTTAAGCAGTTCATACTCCACATGTGGCACTTTTTGAGTTTCGAATAGCGGTATACTACTGTTGCCTTTATTCATGCAGGTACAAATCCGTTGAAAAGTCTCATTCGGTGATGTCGCTAATCAAAGAAGAGGCCATGATTGTGGTTACGACAATTGGAATATATCCGTGGTCATCTGTTACACGATAATTCATAACGGTCAAGCAACTTTCGAGGGGATAAAATGCTCTGTGAAAAAAGTTATTTGGTTCTAGGAGATCAAGATCATGAATTTGTGATAGATAGGATATATACACTACACGATATAGTTTCGATTAAAGTGTTGTGTAGGATTGTTATAACAAAAGATGTCCTTGCTTACGTACCTGAATTATACCGTGGTGGGTACCTTTTGTCGTATCTTGATAGGATGGTCTTTATTATGGTCTCCCTTTAAAAATGTCATGATATGAAAATTTCCTTGCGAAAATAACATTGTTTTAAACAGTAGTTTGTACAAATGATATATTTCAGATATACAAGGATGTTTACACCTCACAATTACACCCTTTATATAATTTAACAAAAGGCTCATTAGAGCCTGAATCGCTCACCTTGTAAAATGAATTGCCATTGCTTGTTTATAAATTTCTTTGTGGCAATATTTCATTTGGTATTCCAACTGTTTTAATTCGAGCGTGGTATCTTTGATGAGTTTTCACTGCTATATTTTGTATATTAAAATTTTCGAGACAATTGCAGAATTCTAAAACTTGATTTAAAACAAAATCGCCGTTTGAGGGCAATACATACTATAAGGAGTCGTTTAAAAATTTCAGTCGAATTGACATTTTTGTACATCTCGTTTTGCCGATAAAATTTCTGTTTACAGTCTATCTATCTATTATAGTTTTCCAGATGTTCTACAAATACATGGCAATAAGTAACAATTCAAAGGACAATAACTTTTGAATGTGTCATTCAATGGGTTGGTCATATTGGCATTTTTATAGGCTTTGTATGGGTGATCACTTTTAATTGTTTGCAGTTTCTACCCAAATATTATAGATTTTCAGATAATTGACAAAATTATGAAAATTAGTAAAAAAAATCATCATTTAAAATCAATAACTTCAACAACGAGCCACCCAATGATTTCAGCCTTACAGCATTTTTGAACATTTCGTATTGTTGATAATTTTCTGGTTAAAATAACTCCTTAAATTTTAGTTATATTAGGATTTATGTAGATATTGTATTGCTGATAATTGTTGTTGTGCTATGTTTCATGAAATCCTCACCCGTTCGACGCACACGGTCTCACTCCTATAGAGTTTTTTTTACCTGGCTTGACATTTTATGTATCTTCTCAATGCATTTCAAACTTTGTTAAAACTATTATCTACAAAAAACCTATTTTTTTATATAATTTTCGGGATAATAATAAACTACCCGATAATTTGCCGTTCCATACATTTGGTAGTCAGCTTTCCGGATTACTGGTCATCCAGAATATCTATGCATTACATTCCGTAGTAAATCCAAGCTATACCCTACATTATTCATTATTTAAAAATCTAACAAATTATGTCTTTTTTTAATATTTGTTTTTCAACACTCACATGTGTCAAAACCTGTAACAGCATGTGTGTACATAAGGGGAAAAGATTTAAGGTACTAACGATTTATTTTGAAGTGTACTTATTTGCCACAAAACAGATATATTGGAAAGTCTTTAATAGTGAGCGTAAGAACACATATCATAGCAATCCACATTATTTATAAGGTTCGAATGTTGACTTAAGCGGTTGTGTTTGATATTCACCGACAGCAAACAATTGTATGGCAAGTATGTGGGAATAATCGGTAAACTTCAAAAATAATTTGTGAGACCAACCATGCCGTTGTGTTACTGTATTATTAACGTATAGTTCATATCTCTTTAATTCATAATTGATCGCAATTTTGACAGTTTTACATAGACCATATGTTAATTTGAGCACTTGTATGTTAATGACATTAAAAATAGAGGCGAAAGCTACCAAAGGGAAAATCAAACTCATAAATCGAAAATTAAGTGACAACGCCATGGCAAAAGAGAAAATTATTAAAAGACAAACTACAGTATATAAAACACAACATGGGAAACTTCAGTTTTATCAATTGAAGAAAAAACTACCTTATCATGTCATCCTCTTCTTCTACTCTTATATTGTCTTTTGTGCTGTTAAAACTAAATAGAAACAAAAGAGTTTATGGTAAAAATATCACTGAATGGCGGCTAAATAGTCTTACATACAGCTAAACGTTTTTATGGGAATGTACGAGAGTCGAGAATAATTCAAACAAGATTGGGATTTGTTGTTGTGCGTTTCTGTTCTGCTGTATACATCTATTTACAAACGTTCAATTATGCTAACGTTTATACTTGTAACGTTTTGCAATTTTTTTTTAGATTTGCCAACTAACATTATGAAATAAAATGTTGTTATTATTTTAAAAAATTTAACACTTTTTACTGCATATTTTTTTCATTTTTCATGGTTTGATGTTTCCAAGTAAAAGAAAATTAAAGGAAGCAATATCAGAATTGTATGGGGTCTATATTATTATCTTAAGTAAGAGTATTGTAAGCTTGCCTTTTTTTAATTGTAAGACTGTATAAAATATACAGCATTTGTTTTTCGTTCAACGTATATGTGAGTATTCTGATATACTTCTTCAAATAAAGGGTGTATTTTTACTAAAATTTTACTAGATTTTTATGACTGTGTCATTTGTTCTTCCTTGGACATAGATAATAGGGAGAGAGATTAGAACAATGTCAAAACTGGATTTGCCCGCCATATGTTTTAGTGTCAGGAATCCCAGCAATGTGCTGTTTAGTTATATATTTTTTTTAACAATTTTTCAGAATACGAATCTCCTATACGTAATAGTTCTTAGATGAACAGGTAGTTAAAACCTGTACTTAACTGTTATTGTAGACAAAAGGAAACATCTCATAATTATTTTTGTTCTAGATATAGTATGGTGAGCCAATAAAAGTTAGGAATATTATGAAACCATTCGACCTTTTTTCAGAATTAATTAGAAATAACATTCTTACCTTTGACATACTATACTGTCGAATGTAGCAATGTTCTGATGAATACATATGGCAATTGTTAGTGTTGTTAGAAGCATTTCTAAATAATTCTAAAAAAAATCAAATATAATTGAGTTATTTTGTAGCATTTAAAGAATGTGAACTATGATATGATTACTGATAAAACATGGTCTGCGCTACAAACCTTTTAAATTTCTAACAATTCTATTTATGTTTCTCCTTTGGGACACAGATACACATTTTCATTAATGTATAATGCTTTTTAAATTACTTTTAGTAATTACGATGGACAGATCGATCAGCGTGTTAATGGTATCATGAAAATTGTGGTACATTGGGAAGAAACTGAAAATAAGAAAACGTCGTATAAACTATATGTTTATATTATATAACCTTTGCAGTGTTCTCCTGTGGCAAATAACTAATTCAATAACATTTTCATTCAGATGAAGATAAATAACAGCCTTGAAATTTTGTTTTCTATAATTTCCATTGAAACATTTAAGCCATAAGTCCACCCCTTTCTATTAAAGATGCATCAATTGTAATTGTTTTAACTAGACTTGCATTCTTTTAAAATGTCAGTCTAAAAAATAAATTTACTAGTTAAGTACAAATTTGATACACAAGTTATTCCAATAAAATCAAAACTTTCAATTGCAACTATTCAATATGATAAATGTTGCATTAAATTCTAATTATACACACCTGTTGAATTTATGCAATCGACCTTAGTATTCCTTTCGAAATAAGCAACTGTATTTAGCTAAATATGATGTACTGCAATGGAATGATCAACATATATTTAACCACTAAATAAACATAATAACTATGAATTAAACAAAAAGGTCCTGTAGTACCTGTAGTAGATATCAAAATAAATGAAAAATTAAGCAATATTATATAGATTAAAACGGCAATATTTGTTGAAAAAGATTGATTTTAAATAATTGAATCGGAGACGGTTTAAAGTATGTATGTATTTTCATAGAAGTCTGAATTATTAATTCTTTGGTAGCGTGGAAATTCTTTATTGAATATCAATGGAGTATGGTATGACACTAATTACTTTCATAGCGTAGAATTATTAATAATCATGGTAATAGTAATGTTATTCCAGGAAAGACTATCAGTTTTATATATAACATTTAATATCATTGTACCTTTTGTCAATTTTTGTGTTCGTGCCTGGTGACTCCTAGATATGTTTTTCTTTTCGTTCTTTTTACTTGCTTGTTTCCGTTTCTATTTCATTGGTCTATATTCAGAATCTTATTATCTTGCTGCAGATAATGAAATCCGCGAAATAAGAAAAGTGTAACAAATACAAATTTTTTAAAAAGTTTTTGCACTCAAGTTAGACTTATAAATCGTGCAAAACTTAATATGACGTCACAGACTCGTGGTCGAAAAAAAAAAACATTATCTTTGGCTAAAAAAAAAATTCTCATTCAGAACTCTTACTCTAAACACTAAGGTTCCCCCAGGCATATAATGCTTTAAGTGTATTTTAAACAACTTTTCGGTTTTTAATGCTCAACCTCGTATTTAATCTATCCTTCGTACTTTTTTTAATCTAGCGCCATTGATGAGTCTTATGCAATCAAAACGCACGTCTAGCATACCAATTTATAAGTCTGTTCTTTTAACAATCGCCGTCTTATTTGTTTGAGGAAATAAAAGATTGTCACGTCTTCTAGGACAATGATTATTATGAAGTGAAAAACAAATTGTGTTGCCTTGCAAATCAAAGTAATTTCCCTGAAAAGTCCTGTGTTTTATTACTATATTTTTCTAAATGGTTAACGGATTTTAAAATGCATTTCAAAATCTATAACTCTATCATTAAAATATAATGTAAAATCTCTGTCTTTCAATAAAACATTGCTATAATTGTTTATAATATTTTGTTATATAGCAATGAAATGGACAATTCAAAATTTATTTGCGAAAACACATCTACATTGAATGGTTATGGCATTACATACAAACAATAAAACTGACAATGGTATAATTATATGGGAGTGACAGTTGCTTTCATATAGAATTACCACAACTTTTAGTGTATTTTATATAATCATTAATGCTCATGTGAAATAAAAATAGATTCAGTAAATTATGGAAAGGACAAGGCACATTTTTGGACCTATTTGGCCCTGTAATTTCACAAAAATTATAACATTGCCTGATGTCATCACAAACATTCATCAGCATCAGAAAAAACGTTTTTTACATAAAATATGTCTATATAAGCCAAGCCTTGATGACAAAATTTGACTGTGACGTCTATAAAATGACGTCAGACGCTACATAAGTCAGAATTATTTAGCCAAATTAGGCTAATTACAAAAGAACATTAAGGTTAAACGTCGCACAAAATAGTTTTCGGCAGTGATTAGATGAAACATAAATTACTTTTTTAAATATCTTTTTGGCGACGACTGTTCTCTATATTATTTCTAAGCATGAACTAGTCACGAAGTCATTATTTTGCATGATTTCATTGCATGCCTGTACACCTCATGCACGGGGATATTTTTTTAGCACAAACATTATTGTGGTATATAAGCATTAACATTCAACATAAGATTCTGAAAATCGTAACTTGTCCTTACACTATTTAATGACTGACTCGTACCGCTGAAGAATAGTATCAAGCAAAACCCTCGGCCCAAAAGACTTTCAGTATTTTTATTCATTGATACTGTTTCCAAATTTGATTAAGCTGTTCTGCCTTGATACAGACTAGTATGTAATTGGTATATCAACAAACATGCCACATCTACTTTGCTTAATCTTCTGTTGAACCTCCTTTCCTCTCAAATGTTTGGTGGGGTTTATGATGCTGAGTTTTCAGTATTTTGTGGACTTCTTTATCTATCCGCCAAACTTTTGCAACTGATGATTATTTATCTTGATTTTAAACTTCTTCAAAGGAAATCAATTTGAAAAATTTTTAAATGACGCAATAGTCGTCTAACTTTAACGTAAGTAAACAGGTTCTTGATTGTTTTCTGAAATCGATGGATTATAAAATATTGGTACTTGAAAATCAAATAATGATTCAAGGATCTTAATAATGTTTATTTTGTGTCCATAGAAATAAGATGTCAATAAGTATATGAAATGTGAAGTTATACATCTACTTGAACTGGAAAGCTATAATACATAGTATGATTTACAAAATAATAAAATATTGAAGAAAATGAAAACAAGTGCAACATTACATATACACTGTGTACACTGTACATCTTGTAGTTGAAATTACTTAGGAGGGACATTAAATCAAATGTATGGTTAATTATTCAGAGAAAAAAGTCGCAAAAGTCATGATTTATCATATATATATATAGGATTTGTCAGGATCTGCAATCTGAAGAGTTAAACCACTGTGTCGACGTCGTTTCAACTGCTGACGAACTTTTTTTTCGCGAGGATATCATCAGTCCAGTAGTCAGCACTTTAGTGTGAACATGAACTATAATTGCAGTGTATATTTTCTGTAGATCACTTTGATAAAAATGTTGAATTATTTATATATAAACTCATCATAGATACCAGGCTTAAGATTTTGTACGCCAGGAGCGCGTTTGTTCTACAGAAGACTCATTAGTGATGCTCGAATAAAAAAGAAGTTTAAATCTGCCAAATAAAATACGAAGTTGAAGAGCATTGAGTACCCAAAATTCCGAAAGGTTTTGCAAATACATCTCTGTTATCTATTCCTGGGGTAGAAACCCCTTAGTATTTCGAAAATTACGTTTTGAAAATATTTAAACACTCTAAGATTTTTCTATTCCAGGCATAAGTTGCCATAGCAGTATTTGGTTTGAACACCACTCATGTGTCTTGTGTAGACGAATTCAGGCTAAAAATATATCAGACAGTTGTATGAATCTTTACAGTTTGGTCGTTTGTTGACTGTACGGGTTGCATAAATAGCACAATTCCTGTCGGCATTGAGAAGTTTAATCCAAAGATTAGTTCTGGATAGGTTCAATGTTTTTATCGTGATAATTTGAGGTGGTTCATATGTCAAAATTCAGTCGCTTTTCTATATGCCTTCTTTGACTTTTGGCACCCTAAATTACTGCCCTTTATCCGACGACTTACTCTGCAAAGCCTACATACTCAATTTATTAACACTGTATTATTATCCTGCATAATGATAGATAAAATAAAATTGTAACGGACGTTAGATAACAATCAATTATTCAATTAATTGCAGACAGTATTGACACAAGTAAAACCATTAATTATAGTTAACTTCGAATAAATACCGAACTCCAAGGTAAATCAAAAAGGGAAAGTCCATAAAACCAACTGCTCGATTATAACAACATAATATAAAATGGAAAACATTTAATTATCATTACTTTACTTTTCTATGAATATCCTTATGGATCATACAACATTGAGACTACGTCCCATTCCTTGTGAATATCAAGGTAAGTTGTAAATAAATCTAACAGAGATATTACATGTATATAGAACTGTTTGCATCTCCGAATCCCCTAAAGGACATTATTATTACAACATATCTGTAGATAAAAACTGATGATATCAAAATAAGGAGGGCGTGCATGATTGCTAATGAGACAACTATCCACTAGAGAAAAGGTCTCGAGTGTAAAAAAGTATAACAAAAACACCCATCTTCAAGGTAAATTCAAAAGGGGGGGGGGGGGGCAATACAAACTGACAAAATCAAACGTTACACTTTATCCACCAACAAAACGAATGGAAAACAACCGTAATATTCCTGACTGTAAGTGTCGGTCACTATATTTTCACCGTACAGCCTTCATCAATTAGCACAACTCATTATCATATTGTAGGCTTTAAAAGATCCTGGGACGACATAATAATTAAAATTCAAACGAGAAACAAAACTGCCTTATTTATTCAGATTCAGAAATTATTAAGAAACTAAGGTTCAAACTCCTACAGAATAAATTTTGCTAATTTTATGTCCCTTTTAGAGAAATGGCTCTTCACCTGTTTATGTCTTATATATCTTTGGTTTTCAAATGTTTGGTTTTATTAAGTTGTTGTTTTTTAAACTCAAACTCAACCTGGTTTTTTTAATTTTTATTCAGTTGAATTAAATAAGATTTATGGAAGAATATACATGAAAAATCAGTTCATAAAATACATTTAACTCTTTAATACCAATACAAAAGACAATAAAACACATATAAACGCCATATATGACAATATGAGAATATATCAAACTTGCAACTTCTTAAAAGGAATATATAGAGAAAATAAATCTCTATGAAGGCTAAATGCTTAAAACGTATCTGTGAAAAAAGTGGTGTTGCAGTAATTCTGTTTCAAATAATGCTCTCATATGTTGTAAGCAAGCTCGTCAAACCATCCTACACACTCATACATTGGTGGTGTCCCATCGTACTAGATTTTATTTAGAAGTGTAATAAACAGTGCATGAACAAAACTTGATCTTGTGCAATTTCAAGTAAATGCACGCAAAAAAGGAAACGGTTCAGTCTTCTTTTAAACCTTTAATATGCGAATGAGTGTTGTTCAAAAGTATAATTATAACCTTTATCAATAAGTTTACTTAGCTAAACAACAAGATTTGAAGGACAGACCTGATTTTTTTTTTATTTCCTGTACAATTGAAATTGCTGGGAAAAAACCTAAACGCCCAAATAGCACTTCTTAAAATACTTATTGCAGATTAACACATACTTCCATCAAAGAAGCCAATATTTGCGATAACATTTTGTAAATATTTTCTCCAGTCTATATTTATCCCTGGTAACTATACATATTCATATACTTACCTTTATCAGTTACCTTGTTTCATACATTGTTTTAATATAAATAAGAAGATGTGGTATGAGTGCCAATGAGACAACTATCCATCCATGTCACAATGTATAAAAAGTAAACAGTTATAGGTCAAAGTACGGCCTTCAACACGGAGCCTTGGCTCACACCGAACAGCAAGCTATAAATGGCCCCAAAATGACTAGTGTAAAACAATTCAAACAGGAAAACCAACGGTCTGATGTTCATGAGGCCAATTGTGTACCCGATGTGCTAAATCCTAGTATGAATTTTAGAACACATTATACATATTTTTGTTATCCTACTTCTATTATAAATTTTCATAGAATAATCGGGGAGTGGTAAGTAAGAAATTTCAATGTAACATTTCCTACATTAATTTGTTAAAATATATATGATTTATTGCTATAACTAATTAACGTTGATTGTTTTATACTTTTCACTTTTGATATTAAAATATTTATTTTTATGGATATTTTTTTTTCTTTTCCAGTTTTTAAAATTTGTTATGACTATTATAAAATATTAATAAATGATAAGTTGTTTGTCATATTCATGGAACCTTTTTAGGTATATTTGAAACATTCATCACTACTCTCATTGATTATCTCTTATTTTTACCCATTTTATCTCAGATGAATAGAACCATTAGAATGTAACTAACAAAAGTTCGTGACGAATTAAGTTTTAATCAATTTCATTGATATAGATGGGATAAATATGTATTTACCTACATGATTTAAACAATGACATTGGAAAGTTCTGCTGTTAGCTAATTCAGTTTTTGAAATATAATCGATGAATGAAAAAACGATGATAATGGAAGATATAATAGGAGATACACTAGTACGTCGTTTCCTTTGTATCGTTCATATTCGATTAATACAATATTGACTTCTGTTTTACCATATATAAAACCGACCCTTAGATTGGGAATACATTTGGTATTAATCTTGGTTTAAAATGAGACATTATGGTTGTGTTTACATCATTTTTGTACTTTGGATTCTTATACAAATTGTTAAACCAGTAACAAATTATAAGTAAGCTTTTAGTTACTAATTTATTCAAAAGTAATTTCTAACTACATTGTATTCAGCAATTGAAAATAGTTTCTTTAATGTAATTGCCGTTATTGCATTTTATTTTATTACGTTCTTTCAGGCGTTACTTCGGCACTGTTATTTGAATAAATATCATTGTTTCAGTCCTATAAAGGAATCCATCTGGTAGCCTTTAACGAATGCCAAAATAAAATTATCAATTTATCATTTCCAGCAGTAACATATTTTAGTCCAATCGTATGGGGTTTACAAATCTAGCACAATTGATGAATTTGTAGACGAAAAGCGCATCTTTCTAGTAACGAGCTTGGTGCCTTCGGTAAAACAATTATAACACGGGGTGCATGCAGGGTTATGAGGAAGAACAACGACACTATAGGAGTTTCATGGTCACCATCATGCATTGGTTGACCGATACGATTTAAACATATTTTATTCAATAAGATATGACCAATAATTATAAAATGTGTCTGTGTCTCAACTCACAACACATGTTTTCTCGGGTGTTAGACCTTTAGATACCGGAATAGCGGATAATTGTCGAAGAAGAGATAGGTCACTATGACTAAAAGAGACGAATAGACAATAGTGTTATATAGAAAACTAAGGATGGACTTCGATATAATAACCAATCAAATTTCAAGGTAAACAAAGGAGCTCTGTAAAGCTGTTGTACTTTCTGATAGAGAAATCCATCTGGTAGCCATTAACGAATGCCAAAATATGCGTGAGACCTATTGTTGTCTTACAGACGATAACAGTAATTATATAGTATACCAGAAAGCCAAAACAATTTAGAAACTAATATCTTCAAATGCTAGATCTCAATTTTTGTCACATGAACCTATTATGTCTGTTTGGGTTGCTCACCATTTTCTATTGATATAACTATAAACAACTGTCATGTAAGTAGAAGGTTTAGCTAGCTTTACAAAAATCAGGTTTAACCAACCATTTTCTTTGGAAAATGCCTGTACCAAGTCAGGAATATGACTGATGTTTTCCATTCGTTCCTTTGGTTGATAGAGTTGATTTTTTCCCGTTTTTATGGACTTCCCCTTTTTGAATTTACATTGGAGTTCGGTATTTTTGTTATACTTTTTACTGTCATATGCTGATTATAAACTGTTAATTGTAGTATAATATAAACGTTGCTGTCAGGTGTAAATAATAATAAACTATAACAATACGTTTTTGTATATTTTTAGCAACCATAATGCAACAGTACAACAGAACGAGGACAGAATGTTGAGGTAAATAATGTTAGAGTTATAATGTCTAAATTCTTAAATAATTCCCATGAAATTCAATCAAATTGTGCACCTCTACTTGTTTTTGAATTCATATAAAATAGAATACACACAAAATCTTCTCAAAAAGAAAAATCATCTTCAAGTTCATTTATTAACTATTATGTCTTGTCACTCAATATCCCACATTTAAATGAAAGTGCTTGCATCATATATATCAATCCAAGTGAATTTGACATGATTTATACTGCAACTGTGCTATTTGAGCAGTCTAATTGAATTGACCATATATTCATATGTGATATTCAGTCACTCACCGTATATCGCCTTGTTGATGACGTTGACAATGCGTTTCCGCATTTTATTTTAAACAATGGTAAGAGTTGCATTATAAAGAGAATAGCCATACATTGTCTCGAAATATAAATTTTATTTGTACTCGGCTCGAAACAGGATAGAAATGCTCGACAAAGCCTCGCATTATACCTGTTTCTAAGCCTTGTACAAATAAATTTTATGTTTCGAGACAATGTATATCTATGCTACCAAAACTAGAAATTCTACTAAATAAATGTGTCAAATAGACGACTTCAAACTAGAATCTGTATCTCAAACGTCACTGTTTATGTTCCCATTGTCAATTTCTCATTTTCAGCAGTAACATACTTTAGTCCAATCGTATGGGGTTTACAAATCTAGCACAACTGATGAATTTGTAGACGAAACGTGCATCTGCCTAGTAACGAGCATGGTGTCTTCGGTAAAAAAATTATAACAATGGGTGCAAGCAGGGTTATGAGGAGAACAGTCACACTACAGGAGTTTCATGGTCACTATCATGCATTGGTTGACCGATACGATTTAAACATATTTTATTCATTAAGATATGACCAATAGTTATAAAATATGTCTGTGTCTCAACTCAAAACACGTGTTTTCTCGGGTGTCAGACCTTTAGATACCGGAATAGCGGATAATTGTCGAAGAAGAGATAGGTCACTATGACTAAAAGAGACGAATAGACAACAGTGTTATATAGAAAACTAAGGATGGACTTCGATATAATAACCAATCAAATTTCAAGGTAAACAAAGGAGCTCTGTAAAGCTGTTGTACTTTCTGCTCCTCAAAATAAAATCATATGGACAAGTCTATAACTTTTATACTTTACTAAAACATAACTTGCCTAAAAAATATGGTATAGAGTATATCTAATTCATAGTGTTGTCTTATTGTTTGCCTAGTTTAAAAACGTGTGATAAATTTAGCAACAAATAAAAAAGAGGTCTCATGGACGTTCAGTAGAATGGTGAGTTCAGCCTATTTATCTCTCTCTCTCTCTATCTCTCTCTCTCTCTCTCTCTCTCTCTCTCTCTCTCATATATAAATTAATGATTTTTTATATATGTTCGTTTCATTTATTTCACTCTAATACTGTTTCTTGACATGGATTGGTGTCCTACTAGATCAGTTTTCCTTTTTGTTTAGAGAATCCATACTAGAAGAAATGTTATCTACATATGATAAAAGATTTCCACCTCATTATAACGACAGTAAGTAATATTAATATCAAAAAGTAGAATCAAATATGGAATAGAAAATTACAATGTATCTTTTAAAAACAATATATTTTGTTTGTCATTTTGAAATAATGTTTGGTGTTGGTATACATTTGAATGTGTCTTTAAATTACAAAAGAGAGGACTTTCCAAATCCTAACGCTTTTCCGGAACTGAAATTTCCATTGTGTGGCTTAACTCCTTAGAGCTTGTGGAGATTGGTAAAGTTTTTCCCTTTTAGACCAAATCACAGTGCACTAGATGAAAAATGTTATTTTAGGTTGACAGTCTATTATATGCTGTAGTAGTAACTTGATATTAAAAACTTTAAATTTCCTACGTTGAGAGAATTTTTTTACATTTTTATCACATTGTACACACTGTTGATGAATTAGAAGGGAGAAATGCAGTGGTTTTTATGCCCCAGCCATTAGGCGAAGGGGGGCATTAAGTGTTACCCTCAACCGTCCGTCCGTCCGTTCGTCTTTCCGTCCGTTCGTCCTTCCGTTTTTCTGTCAGTCCCATTTTCGTTTCCGCACTCTAACTTAAGTTTGCCTCATTCAAATTTTATAAAACTCATACACGATGATAAGACCCACAACAAGAAGACTAGAGTTCGATTTTAGGCAGTACTTCTTTTATTTTTATCTCAGTTGACATATGGTAGGAATCAATAACATCTTAATATAATATTTAAAACTTTTTTCGTTTTTTCGGGAAACATATGTTGTTAACCTTTTGTGAAAATACAAATATTACTTAAATTTGCTGTTATAAAGTTTCTATCTAAATATCTACAATTGCATTTAAAATTACAAGAATACCGTAGATAAAATTGAGAATGGAAACGGGGAATGTGTCAAAGAGACAATAACCCGACCAAAGAGCAGAAAATAGCCCAAGGCCACCAATAGGTCTTCAACAGCGAAAAAATCCCACATCCAGAGGCGGGCTTCAGCTGGCACCTTATCAAAAATGTATACTAGTTCAGCGAAAATGGACATCACACTAATCTCCGAAACAAATAAATGAACCAAAATCGAAAAACATACAAGACTAACAAAGGCTAGAGATTCCTGACTTGGGACTGGCTCAAAAATGCGGCGGGGTTAGACATGTTTAGTGAGATCTCAACCCTCCCCTTATACCTCTAGCCAATATAGAACAAACAAGCACACAACAATACGAACAGTAAAACTCAGTTTAAAAGAAGCCAGTTACTGACATGCCAGCTCCAGACCTCAAGTAAACTGATTGACAGATTATGTCTTCATCATATGAAAATCAAGCACAAGATATCTGTTTTATACCATAATTATAAAATTTGAAATCTTTCTAAATGAAAAAATGTATCTCCCTCAAGCATAGCTCTGATTCCTCGTCTAGATTTTGCTTTACTGTAGGTCCTTTTATGAACTTATCAGTTTTCAATTTTCTTACTAAATTTCGGAATTTCCAATATTTATTCCTCGGACATTTTTATTCGAAGAGACATTAATTTTCGAATTGCACATCTGGTGCAGTAAAACTGGTACCGTTAATGTAATAAGTGCAGGACTGCAAAGAAACACTTTTTTTAGAACTTTAAATATTGTTTCACTGAACATTAACAGAGTAAAAATGCATTTTGTCGTCATATCAATTAGATGTTTGACTTAAATCAAACTGAATTGTAAATTGTGTTACCCTCCACATCTTGCCATTTTGTTACTTTAATATCTTAAAAAAGTTTCATTTGGGCCTTTGACAGCCTTATTAAATCTCCTTGATGATATAAATATAGGATTTCGATCATTGTTTCATTTTTTAGAGATTCTTATGTCGATACATTTAAGTTGACTTTTGTCTTTTAATGCCTCGATTAATGTCATTTTATGTACAATTGTCATTTTTTTTTAGCTTGAAAATTCGTGAATAAACTTTTTTGCTTAAAGCAAATATTCAGAAATCATTTTATGATGCATTCATGATAATTTTTCAGTAATTCCAGTTAAAGTTAAAGTACAGATGTATGTGTTGAGTGTATTTGAGATCGATGCATCTGAAATGGTAATGACGTTAAGCAATACGTTTTAAACATTACATCTTTTTCTAAAAAAAAAAAGAGAACATACATTGGTTCTAATCATAGGAAGCCAGTGAAAAACGCATCACTTTGGTAATAAATGCTGAAATAATCCATGTTTTCCTCAAAAGATCAAAAGCAAACATGACTATAGTAATTTTCTTGTCATACATTTGCGTTAATATTAAGAATATATCAAAAGTGCAATTATTTTTTCTTTAAAAACATATGCAAAAAAGAGCAAAAATTGAACGACCAAAAGGGCAATTTTATCGGTCGACAAATATCTATATACATCAAAATTGAAAATCAGAAAACAGTTAAGTAGAAGAGCAGATGCAATAATGATGTTATCAATCTATAATAGAAGGTATATGACAGAAAAATATTCTACTTCAAAACTGCAGTCGTTGACAAACGCGTTTTGATCAAGATAGAAGTTCCGATTTAGAATAAATGGATCAGCACAGGAGAGGGTTGTAAATTTAAGCAATCCTTTATAAAAGAAAATTTCAAATAAGTTGGCGAATCACGGAATAAGTGTGTGCAGAAAAAATTGAACCTTTACTAAAAGAATGAGTGGCATTTTTATATTGTTTTTCCTTTTAAATTTTTTATAAACATAAATGTGTAATATCGATAACGAAAATTAATATAACAATATTTTGTTTAAAATGACATTAACTACTCGATTCATTGCCTGTTGGTCCCAAGTTAAGATAAAGAAGGAGGAGAATAAAAATATATTCACCCGTACAAATCGTTTGTATAAATTTTACTAGTTTATCTACATGGTATATTGCCGTAAATCAATTGTTTCCTTTTTGGCGCCTGTATTATATGCAATCACAGAAGTTAATGTCCGCAAATGTAACATTGAACGATCAAACGTGAAACACCAACCAAGCATGTGTCCTAGTTTTATATGTTATCAATTTTCAGCGAAAAAATCGGCATTGTAAAATTACACTTAAAAAAGAATATGTGTCAATATAGGACACCATACGCCTCTCGCATTATCACATTTTCGTGTTAAGTGAACCTTGATATCTTTCTCGAAAACCATTACTTGGAAAAGAGGGGCGAAATTACCAGAGGGACATTCAAACTCATAAATCGAAAATAACCTGACAACGCCATGGCTTAAAAAGAAAAAGACAAACAGACAAACAATAGTACACAAAACACAACATAGAAAACTAAAGACTAAGCAACACGAACCCCACCAAAAACTGGGGGTGATCTCAGGTGCTCCGGAAGGGTAAGCAGGTCCTGCTCCACATTTGGCACACGTCGTGTTGCTCATGTTAGTACAAACCCGGTAATAAGTCTAATTATGTAGGTCACATTCGTGAAAAGGGAACGGGAGTGTAGTTACGACATTAGGAACATATCCGCTATCATCTGTGAAACGGATATTCAATTTACTGATTGGAAATAAGAGTTAACAGTTCACGTAATAATAAACATTTGCTACAGACAGATTACTAGACGGACAGATGCGAAGACCAGAACACACTATCACCCTCTACTACCCATAAAAAGGGGAAGATGCTAAGGGTGCGATCAAAACTATAAGTCGGATAAACGCATACAAGTCCATGACAAACTAATAACCAAGACAAACAACAGTCCACAAAACACTACTTAGAAAACCAAAATCAACAAGTAACAGGACCAGGGGTGAACTTGTGTGCTCCGGGATGGTCAGAAATTCTTACCGACCTCCGGCGTTTAACTACAATGATGAGTCATATTCATTGAGTATCCATCATACGATAGAGAATTGGTAAATGACTCTTGTCTAACTCTAAGAAATCACCAATTCAAAATTCTGCGTTATGTACATTCGATAAGTCATTCTTAACAGTTGGCATTTCTTTGTAAAAGTAATGTTGACATTTTCTGAATTAAGATCTTATTAATTTCTTTTCTACCAAATTGCAAAATCAGAAAACAGCCAAGTATCTAAACAGAAGTAATAAGGATCTAATCTATCAGTAGCAGATAGAATATTCCTGTTCTAAATTGTAGCCGTTGAAAAATGTTTAACTAGCACATGTAACAACTGAAGTATCCTGAATGATGAGAAAACGTATGCCGTTATTTTAATTTTAAAAATACTCCAAGTAACTTAGTGCGATAAATTATAATATTTCTTCGATAATTTGGATTTATAATGCATTACTGAGGTCTTCATACAGTACATTGTTGTTATACGTTTTAGACGTTTTCAATCAGTATGTTTCTGAGACAAGAATGGGTTGATCGTCGACTTCAATTTGAAACCAAAGATAATTTGTCGAAAATTGAAGTGGATAACGAAATCACAAAAGAAATTTGGCTACCAGATCTGGCTTTTAAAAGTGATACGTATACATATTTCCATGAGCTTACACGTCCAAATACATTGATGATCATTTATCCAAATGGGAAAGTCGTATATAGTTTAAGGTCAGTAATTTATCATTTTTAAAGACATATATAAGAAACAACTTAACGAATAGGTGTTGATATGTGCATTGTGAATAACAATTATCCGTCCGTGATGTTTGAAGAAAAATACTGGAAAAAAGTTAGTAAGATTTTAAGAGTAGTAACTTTGACATATCAATAAAAAAATGTTAAATCAAGGATTTGTATGTTCATTTAAATTACGTAATTTACAAAACGTTTTAGTAGTCAGTTTCCGCTGAGATCATATTACGGAAAATACATGCATTGACAATCATATCTTAGTTCCTAATATCTATATATAAAGATACAAACTCTCTCCAAGCACCTGATCTCTCTCAAACAGAAGTTCCTGCGATTTGGTTTGTGTTCACCCCCATTTTTGTCTGTTTTGTGCCTAGACTTCTGAACCTTGGAAGACTACCTTAGCATTTTACTGTATAGTGACAAGTTAAAAATGTCTGTATATATCTACAGTATACTTAATAGAAGTCCGGATGATTTATATTTTAATCTTGATGAAACCATTTGAAGAAAAAAAAAAATACCGTCAATCGAAAATCAGTCGAAAATGTTTAACTCTATTGCAAGCAGAAATACCGCTAAAATAACTGACGGATATAGAGTCTATATATAGATCGAAGGGCAAAAGATAATTACGATAAATGCAAAAGAAAACAACGAAATAAAGTGAAGACTCCATTACAAAGTACAGAAATCTATTAACTATAGAATATTTCTATAAACGTACGCTTTGTTTCATTTATAATTATGTGTTTCCAGTATTGTAATAAGGTTTCAAAGCTATCAGGGATTTTTTCTTATTTTAGGGTGACCGGGAAATTCACGTGTTATATGGACTTGACAAAATTTCCATTTGATGAACAACATTGTCCTGTTGAGTTAGAAAGTTGTAAGTAGTATATTCGGGGTTTTTTCATTTCTTCATTTGGGCTGATACAAGTGCTTAAAAAGTCTTCCTCCGTAAGAGTTTCATTTAAGCACTGCTCAGTTCTATACGACTAAACTAAGACTCAAACTCGGGTAAAATATTTTCATTTATTCTAAATGGTACTTTTTTTCATTTTCATTTACCGTATAAATTCTTGAAGTCTTATTACATACCGTCTTTCGTTGTTTTCGAAGGTCAAACGGACATATTTCTTTCATTGAGCCAGCTAGCATATAGTGTAAAAACACGAATTGAATTCAATACCATCTGAAGCATTTAGTTTCCCACTAACCATGTACATTTGGAATTTGCACTTTGATTTTGATTAACGGTATAAATATTTCGAATGTATATTGTGAGATGACAACATTATTTCAGCACGTGTTTATGAGTATATCAAAAATAAATTCGAACACGGAAATTGTATTGAGGTTAACAGTATCTTGTTTCTGAATTTCGTCCTGTTTCTTTACTTTTTTTTTCAAAACAAATACACAGGGAAGATTCATACCACTTAACCAACTTAAATTGATTCGTTTAGTACAAAAAAAATATAAGTAATCTTTTTTTGATAAAAGCATTAAGACTTTATATATTTAGGGCCGGCTGAAGACCCATTGGTGGCCTCGTGCTGTTTTTTACTCTTTGGTCAGGTTGTTGTCTCTTTGACACATGTATCGTTTCAATTCTCAATTCTTTATACGTTTGAAGCTGTTTGTGCTCATAATGTTTAATTGTATTTCAATTCATCAAACGATTTTACAGCCGAACTATAAAAAAAGCATTTAAAGTAAAATAGATTAGAAGACACATCATATTATCACATTAAGGGATTCAATAGTGTTTTCCAAAACAGAAACTTTCGTCCGTACTTTTCTCTTATTACATCTCTTAAGTTTTCGTCATTTTTTAACATGATGTTGATTGGATATTTTTGCAAGAGTCTGGTGAATATTTTTCGTTTAACCGCTGCATATACAAGACATTTTTTTCAGTAAATAACCTTCATATGAATTTATTTATTTATTTTTACATGAAACTCATGTGTAGATTCTGGCGCTTCAAATTTCGCTTTTTCCTAAAAACATTTACAACTGGTTTTTTTTACAGATGGCTTTACAAACTCAATCATCTCTTTTCGATGGTCACAACCAGCTGTAGTTTATCGTGAGGGTGTAAAGCATAGTCAATTCGAATTAGGAGAGCCACAGTCTTATACATGCGATCAGATATATTCAACAGGTATTGCATTACTATTTACGTTGGTTTAATACTGGTGCACAACAAAATGACATCCACATACAGAATAATATGTAAATTATAAACAATCATCAAACAAATAAGGGCAGTAACAAATGTCAGTGATTAATGCTCAAAGTTAATATTAAAGGGAACATTATTTTACCGATGTTCAAATTGCATAAATCCATACCAAAAGATACCAAGGGGATATTAAAAACTCATAAGTCGAGAAAAAAACTGTCAATGCCGGGGTAATAGACAAAAGACGACAGAAAGACAAACACGTTCACAAAACACGAGCAACATGAACCCCACCAAAAACTTGAGGGGGAATCTCATGTTCTCCAGAACGGTAAGCAGAACTTGCTCTACCAGTGGCTCCCGGTGGCTTGATTCGTCTGATATGCACGAAGCAAAAAATGGAAAAATAAATATTTCCATTTTGTTTTCCTTCATATAAAGAACATACCAAGTTAAACAAATAGCAGGTAAACTGCAAAACAGAGATAAAAAAAACTATGTTTATCTAAATTAGGAAAACAATACAAGCTATCACCTTTAATGAAGATGAAGTAATACTGATGTATTCGTTTCATATAAGCTACATGTCAATAGCAAGCTTCGTGGTTGTACGATCTTATTATTTAAGGGCATTGATAGTCAAGTTACTACAGGAAAATACCTTGTACTGAAAATCATTATTGGAGGACAAAATTACTGTATTGTTTTACAGGTAACTACAGTAGTATTGGTGTAACTTTACCGTTTATAAGGCGATATGAGTTTTATCTGATTCAGATATATGCGCCATCTGTTCTTATCATCATGCTTTCCTGGGTATCATTTTGGTTGAACGTAGATGCAATCCCAGCAAGAATTTCCCTCGGTATACTGACAGTCCTTACTATTTCTACAAACGGTAACATGAGTGTTTCCATGGCTCAGCGTGTGTCCTACATACGGGCTATTGATATTTGGAATTCTGTGTGTTTGATCCTTGTATTCTGTGCCGTTGTGGAGTATGCATACGTTTGTGTCTCAGTTAGAGTTCATCAAAGGAGAAAGTCGGATATATCGTCTAGCGATATCGAAATATGTAACCAGCATAAAGAGATGAAGGTATATAACAATAACGGTATAATTTTACTGCACCAGATGTGCAGTTCGACAGTAAAAGAGATGCGAAAGATACCAAATGGACATTCAAACCAACAAAAAACCGGGGTGATCTCAGTTGTTCCGGAAGAGTAATCAGATCCTGCTCCACATGTAACACCCTTTGTGTTACTCATATAAGTATAAATCTAGTGATAAGTCTAATTCGGTAGGTCACATTCGAGGAAAAAAGACGGGATTGTGATTACCACATTTGTAACATATCCGTCGTAATCTGTGAAACATATTGTCCATAACGGTCAACCATCTCGTGATGACACAATTTTCGAAGGGATGATTTCAACTTTACCACATAGAACTCTTGTTTTAACAACTTCCTTTGTGAACAGCAACCCTCTATCCAGGAAATAATTATATGCAGGCTCGGCTGGAATATTGCAACATAGAAAATGAAAGTTCAAAATTGGGAAGCTGAAACCATTTCTTTTGTCTTAAAGTTTTGTTCTCAACCTAAATGTCTCTTCGGTGATGTTTGAGGCCAAAATATTGTAAAATTCAAAACTTACTCAAAACTATATTGTTATCATTGACTTTTAAAGCAAATGCGACTAGCCAAACTTCAGTAATTTATTTAAGTATTGCATTACGATAATTAATAACGATATTTGTGAATGTAATCACGTATGATCTGGATACATATAATAAAAAGGGATGGTTGATAAAAATACAACGAAAATTAAATAAAGATGAACCGTTTATAATTGGATAAACAACTAGATAGATATAAGAAGACGTGGTATGAGTGCCAATGAGACAACTCTCCATCCAAGTCACAATTTGTAAAAGTAAACCATTATAGGTCAAAGTACGGCCTTCAACACGGAGCCTTGGCTCACACTGAACAGCAAGCTACAAAGGAAAGAATCTATATTACATGTAAATATTAGTGGCTTGTTCATTTAACTTTTTTCGAGGAAGTTACGTTATTGAAACCCTATTAAAGACATCGAGAAGTTTAACATATTTCCCTTAAAAACAAGGTATGGGTCATGCGCATGCTCTTTGTTATAGAGCGTTTTGGGACCTTTACCTAGCTGCTTACATCCACGTCGCTTGGGCTGAATTGTTGTCTCATTGGCATTCATACCATATCTCTTTTTTTTATATATAGCTATGTTATTGCAAGAATTGATACAATGATATTTTTAATATCTTCTCTTCGAATTTTATGTCGTAAATAGAAAATAAATCAATATTTCGTGTGTCAAAGTTGTTGTAGTGTTGATGTTTTTTTTTTTTTTTTGTAGCATGAACTCCAGAGCGAAAAACAAAGTGAACGTTCATATGATCAACTGGAAACGGTAACAGCAAGGACAGTCGATAAAATATCCAGAGTTTTGTTCCCTTGTGTATTTTTTATATTCAATTGTGTTTACTGGTTATATTATATGACATAAGCGAGCAAACAATACAGTTTTTTTTTAAATTCAATTTCCCTTTTTTACTACAGTTCCCAGAGGAAGCACACTTTTAACGTCGTTACAATCTTGGTTGACCAAAATATTCTAATTATTGGGTCCTCATATTTCAGTTATGAAATCAACGTAACATTTCTAAACAAATGCTGTCTACCGACATCAATCTGAGGGTGGTTGGGCGATATTTAGATATGGGTCCAGACTTGTTTCTTACTTCGCCTTCTGTAGACCGAGGGAAGCAGAGATTAGGCCAGGATACCAGGCTAGGTGGTTATTTGAAAACAATTAAACTGGTTATAAGTAAGATAAATAAAGTTTATTCGCATGGAAATTATTTTTGTATGTTTATATTCAATTTTTATCTATGTCATCATTCCGATAATTAACATAAGTATCTAAGGGTTATCTTACTTTCTTGGAAATCTATTTTCATTCTAATTGCAAGTGTACTACTCAGCTTTAAAATTTACCATTGTTAGTTTTATCAATTAGTACGGCATATTTTGGAGCATTGGGTGCTTTTGACAGATCTCTGATCGTTTCCGTTAAATTTATTTACTTCTTACATAGAATATGAACGAACTAATGATGGCATATTGTTGAAGCATGTATGCTCCCCAATACATGTCTACTGGTTATTTTTGTCGTTAGGTTGTTGTCTCATTGACGTATAACCCATATCACAACTCGTTCGCTATGCCTGTGTCTGTAGTGACGTTTTGGATTTCAAATGAACGAAATCTATGTATTACTGGTAAATTATTAAGTCAGTGATTTCGTTACCACAAATTACATAAAACCTTTACCAAATTCTTCCATAGATACAAAGATTTGGTTTGGAAGTTTGGCTGTACCTGAAGAAAATTTATTTCAAACGGGATAGCACATCCTAATTTTTACGGTGATGTTGTTTACGGACCCCGGAAATTTAGGTACGATCCGGACAAACTTATCGATCCTTAAAAAAAATATTCTAAAAAGGTTACCATTCACTACTGTAATTAGATCTGTGAATATTGTTTTATTGGTATACATATTGATTTTGTTATCAGTAAGTTTAAACCAAACTAAATATTATTGTTATATACATATGCACATTCACGATTCTACAATCTGTCGATACCTGTAATTTGGCATTGCATGTAACGTCAAGGTCATGTTTTTCTCTGACTGTTAATGACGTCTTTATACTAAATCCATTGGATGTTGGATGTGTACTGATTGATATTTTAGTCTTAGATGCATGATTTTTTATCAGTTGTTATTAGCTTTGAACTAGCTGTCAGTAACTGCGAGTACTCTCAGAAATGTACTTATTGTCATTTTTGTCGTGGGGATGTAATAAGACCCTGCCACGTCCGGTCTGTGTTTTTGTTACATGTGCTTCTGTTTTATATCGATCTGATAAGTCCTTTTCAACTGATTTTTATAGTTTGTTCATTTATTGTGTTGTTACAACACTGTCCCAGGTTAGGGTGCGACTGAGCGCCCGCAAACATGTTTAACCCCGCCACATTCTGCATATGCCTGTCTCAAGTCAGGAGCCTGTAATTCAGTGGTTGTCATTTGTTGCTGTATACCATATGTGTTTTTCGTTCATCCTTTTTTACATAAACAAGACGTTAGTTTTCTCATTTTAATTGTTTTACATTTGTCACTTCGGTGCCTTTTATAGCTGACTATGCGGTATGGATTTTGCTCATTGTTGTAGGCCGTACGATGACTTATAGATGTTAATTTCTATGTCATTTGGTCTCTGGTGGAGTGTTGTCTCATTGGCAATTATACCACATCTTCTTATTTTTTATAGCAATAAGTTGGGTTTTTGTGTTATGTCTTTTGTATGTCAACTTACTTAATTAGTACTAAAATATGTATAACGGATGGTCACGGATGTTGAGGTTTAGGTTTCCGTATTATCCAGTCTAAGTTCCGTATTTCTATCGATATATATATTTATGAAAATTATAAGTTCTTTTTCCCGACTTAAAAAAACCGTTTTATTCACACAAAATATATACATTTATAACAATTTCCGCGGTTGAAAGATCACCCACTCAACTGATATCATTTAATATTTACTTCTTTTGCTGTGTGTATAAATAAGGACTCATAATTAAATGTGATAGAACGTGTTGTTCAAAGCGTTTTCCATGATAGTCACAATTACTAGACTTACGTGTTCAGTGGTTGTCAATGAGTTAAACATATGGAACACTTACAGGTAAGAAAGACTCTATGTGTGTTCGAAAGCCAAATTAAGGACCTGAAAAAATAAAGATTTCAGGAACATCACGTAATATTAATTTGAATAAGGTCTTAGGAGTTGATTCGATTAAAAACCAACTCTTACTACTTCAATTGTCTGTCCCATGTCATTACTCATCCTTTGCTTAATACAATTTGTGGTCCTCTACTTACTACAGTATGATGACATCTGCTTAGAAAAGTATGATGACATCTGCTTAGAAAAGTATGTTGACCTCTAGGAGTTATTTTTGTTATTGTTGAGTATCCCTAATTTCACACTACAATTAATTTAAGTTAATTCTCAAAAAGTTCAATATTCTGTATTCATGCCAAAAAAGGTTACGTTCTCAAATGTGTGTTTTATTAATAAGTAAACTTTAAAAAACTCATTTATACGCACTGTTTATATGTCACTCAAATGAACAGACCAATCCTCGTTTACCCGAATGGTAAGCTGTTGACATGGCGTTTGGATTGCACCAGAATTATGGTGTAATAAACATAATAATACTTTCATCGAATATAACCTCGCTCTTTTCTGTAGCCTATGTTATGTATCCGTTATTTGTTAGCAAGTAAAGACAAGTGGAATCCGAACTTTTTATTCATGTTTCAACATTTCATTATATTTCTATATTTTCATTAAACAACCAGAATTATTCTTACTCATTTTGAAATGGTTTTCAGGTGCCTGTCCATTGTTGGAAACCGTGTTCGGTAGGTAATGTTCGTAAGTCCTTTCCATTCAACTTAATGATTTTTTGTTATTTGGAGAATTGGATGCTGATGGCAAATCTTGTATTGTTTCCGTTACATTTATTGCAACTTTTATAGACTCGTAACGATGTAAAGCTTGGCACATTATTAAGGCATGTATGTTCCCCAATAGATGTCTTGCTTATTTTTCTCGTTGGGTTTGTGTCTCATTGACGTATAACTCACATAATTATATGTTTATTCTTATGTTATGGGGATTATTATATTGGCAATAACATGACATGTTAGCCTATTGGTAAAACCGAAACGCGGTAAAAGAAAACGACCATCAGGCATCACTTTTTAAATTTTTATAAAAGCCCATTTTCGATTTACGATGTTGACAATAAGCCTGTTTCGCTTACTCTGTTGATTTTTTTTATACTCTCTGTACGTATTCAGCTTTAAAGATATGCATGAGTACATGAGGAAGAATGATTTAGAAACCCCCATCGAATATGATTAGTTAGGTTTTATGGTATGTCTTTTGTATGTCAACTTTCTAAATTAGTTTAATGATATTATATTACGAAATTTCAAATACTAAAATTTGTTATAACGGATATTTAAGCTTATGTTTCCGTATTATCCATGTTACCCAGTCAAAGGTCCGTGTTGTATTTCTATCAATGTATACAGGAAAAGTAGGTTTGATGTCCGACTTAAAAACGTTATAGTTAATCAAATACAAAACAATTTCCGCAGTTGAATGATTACCTACCAAATGATCATATTTAATATTTATCCTTCCTCTTATTAAGCTTTTATAAAAGACTCTTCATTTAATGGGACATTGTTTTCAAGGCTTTGTACATGATAGTTACAATTACCAGAGACTATATGTGTTCAGTGTTTGTAATTGAGTTCAAATATATATCACCTACAGGTAAGACAGTATATAAATAACACATAGCTGAGCGAGTGACCGAGCAGATCATTACCCCGAGAAAACATTTTAAGCGTCTCCCTGAAGGGTAATAGACTCCCTCGTATTAACCAATCAAAATCTGCCATTTAAACATGAAGTATAATATTATACTCTGTTGACGTTAAAACGCCACATTAAGGACCTGACAAAATATCAATTTGAATGACGAGTAATATTTAGTTAGAATAAAGAGTTAATTAAGTTTAAAACCAACACTGAATACTTTAAGAGGTGTGTTGTTGTCGTTTTTAGTTCTTTTTCTTTTATTGTTTTAGCTAAAATCAGCCTAGCTAGGCCGTTTGTTTTCTCTTTTGAATATTTTGACATTTTTTCATGTCGCTGTCTTTTATAGGTTATTTATACCGTTTAAAGTTTGGTCCTTGTTGCAAGTCTTCCGGTAATGTAGTTGCTTGCCATGCATTCTCGTCCTTTTGTCACTGGTGGATAGTAACTGTTGTCTCATTGACAATCACACCACATCCCCTAATATCTATACTGAAACCTGACATCGGCTTTGTGTGACTAAAGTTCTTTCAACGTCTTCGTGAAAATGGGTTTATTTTTCTAAAATCGATAGAAATGGTTTGAAATTATTGATGTTAGAGATGACCTTGACGTGCTATTCCATGAAATTATCTTAACCAGTAAGCGAAACAGAAAAGTAAGAAAAAACGGTCAAGCTCAAGTCAAGGTCAAGGAACAGTACATGGGCTATGTCACAGATTTTGGTAAAATTTTGTATACAACTTTGGTTCGTTGAACTACAACTGAAAATCGAAAAAATAATGCATTTCTCGCTTTTGTTCACTGAAATATCACTGATTGAATTCATTAAAAATAGGTGAACATTTGTATAGAAAGCACATAAAATCGACGAAAAACGCATTATTTTTTTCGATTTTCAGATATAGTTCGACGAGCCATAGTTTTATTATGCAATATGTTATAAAAATCCGCGACATAGCCCATTTACTGTTCCTTGACCTTCAAACGATTTTAATATGAACATGTATATGTACAGAATTGAACGTGAAGTTTAATGATAGTACTAGCCTCACTGCATTATTCGTAAAAAGCTCAGGTTTATCTGATTCATATTAACAAGGAATTGTATATTTAAATATACAATTCCTTGATATTAATCAATATAAAGTGTCCTATGTCTATGCTGGGACTATTATTATACTAACCGTTAGTATGATAGTCCCAGGTCTAGGTCTATGTCAATGTTAAGGTTGATCGGGTGTCTTCCGCCATCTTGGATTGTAAAATAGCAGAACACAATTGGTCCAGATCCTTAATGAAATGGTCAAATTTCAAAAGAAGAATGTAATTCATTTATAAAACTGTTCAAATAAATGAAGATAATTGTGTGTTTTATTATATTTTTTCGACTGTTTCTTACAAATACAGAATATTATTTGTTTGATTCAATTTTTTCAACTTTGACATATAAGGAGAGATAACTCAGATATAGTTTACTTTTATAAAGGAATGTGTTATGAAATTGCCTATTTTGCCCTGTAGCAAGAAAACGAGTCTCGTGGACCCAATTTTCCTATTTATTTTATGATAGCGCATTATATGAGCTATCTTCTCATATTCTATCTTAAAATATTATCGTTTAGTTTTCTTTTTATCACACAAAATTGGGTTTTCCATGCATAATCTATACAAAATCTGACAATTTTGCACAACCTGTAGTTTGAAAAAAAAAATACCCGTGACCCATACGTGTTATCATATTTTTGAAAAAGCATGATATGAACAACATTTTGGCATATTATAAAAAACAATATAAATTGATTTTAATTTAGACCCCCAATATACCTTAAATGAAAATAACAGTTTCTAAATTTCGTGCGTTTAAGCGGTGTTCTGGATTCACCTTCATCAGGAAAACTCAAAACGAAAATTTGAAATCGTGGCCAGTGATGTGAAATTACGTAAAACCGTTTAGAAAATTATGTTATATCATGTCATTCCCGAAGCACTGACTACTAAGCTAATAAACATCATCGGGAATTAACAATCAGCAGTGTTCGAAAATAGAAATAGAATAGAATAGACAATTTATTTTAAGTCGGGTTAAGATGAAACATTACAAACATAATAGATATAAGAAGATGTGGTATGAGTGCCAAGGAGACAACTCTCCATCCAAGTCACAATTTGTAAAATTAAACCATTATAGGTCAAAGTACGGCCTTCAACACGGAGCCTTGGCTCACACCATACAGCAAGCTATAAAGGGCCCCAAAAATGACTAGCCTAAGTGTAAAACCATTCAAACAGGAAAACCAACGGTCTAATCAATATAAAAAACGAGAAACGAGAAACACTTATGAACCACATCAACAAACGACAACTACTGAACATCAGGTTCCTGACTTACGACAGGTGCAAACAAATGCAGCTGGTTTAAACGTTTTAATAAGCGCCAATCTTCACCCTACCTGAAACAATAGTGTACATCACAACATAGAAAGACACACTAAAAAATATCAATTGAAATGGCTTAACTCTGTAGAGCTTTTTGCCGACATTAATAACAATAACAACACATACAATATTCAGACATATAAAACATACACATTAGTCATACAAAATAAGACAGCTATATTCCATAAGCAAAATCATTAATGTTCATATAAAAAGCATAGCACAAACTAGCAAAGCACTAAACTAGATTATAAGCACATGCAAAGCAGACGAAATAAATAAATCAAAACTAGTTCTACAAGCTGCATGGAAAACTCAACATGAAAATCAAATTATGAAGATCTGCAGAAGCCACATCTGCATTAGTTGCCATTCCAGTTATTGGTCATACTTTTAAACTGGTTCAGGTTCGTCTGCGCACGGATCGCGTTAGTCAGCTCATTCCAGAGTGTAGCACCAGCATACCATAATGAATGAAGACCAAAATGTGTTGTTCTCACCTGTGGTACTTCAACAGTTTGTTGCTTTCTAAAAGAGTAAGGTACATTTTTGAAATTAATAATATCATGGAGATACACTGGTGACTATTTGTGTAATATTTTAAAAGTTTCTATGGCCACCATTCGTAGACGTCTTATTTTTAAAGAAGGTAAACCATACTTTAACAAAAGAGTTTCATAGTAACTACTAACATCCTCATAGATGAACCTCAAGGCACGTTCTTGTATTTTTTTCCCCATTTTTTTAGTGTTACCCTCCCCACAAAAATGCCAAACCACTGGACAATAGACGAAATTAGACATCATAATTTATGAGTGATAAATAGTTAACCTTCCCAATTTCGATAGATGTTTCCCAATACTTTTTAGTACATTTAACTGCCTTGATGCTTTTTTATAAATTTCAGAAATATGTGTTTTAGACTTAAGTTGATAATCTATCGTCACTCCCAGGAGCTTTACCTCAGTGTCACATAAAATTTCATACGTATCCAAATTGAATTTAATATTCCCACTTTTTGATTTATTTCCAATGGCAATAGCCTGAAATTTATCTGGATTGGCTTTCATTTTGTTATTAGCAAATCAATCAATTAAAACTGCACTTCCCTTTTCCAAAGATTTAACTAATCCATTTAGATCCTGAGTGTGACAATGTGTTGTCATCTGCATAGTTAAACAATTCATTTTCTTTTAATACAAAATTGAAAATGTCGTTAAGAAAAATATTGAAAAGCACAGGACCCAAGATTGAGCCCTGCGGTACACCTTTGTAAATATTTTGCCAGGTACTAGAGTATGCACCAACTTTTACATATTATTTTCTGTTTGACAGATAGTTATCTATAAGATTTAGTGCATCATTTGACAGACAATATGAATACAACTTTAATAGAAGTAAGTTATGGGGTAAGCAATCGAAGGCCTTGGAAAGCACGGTCCATAAGCACAGCTGCAACATATAAATTTTGATCGACTGCCTCTTTCTAGTCCTCAATTACTCTTAGCAGTGCTGTATTCAGTACCGTGAGCCAAAGCCATGTCTAAAAGCTGACAAAGAAGGATGAAATATCCGTTTACTAAAATAGTCTATTAGCTGCTGGTATATGCATGGCCCTTTCAAAGAATGTTGACACTACCGGTAGTATGCTTACAGGTCTGTAGTTTCCTGCCTCTAACTGACTATTATTCTTGTGCAATGGAACAACCTGTGCTTCCTTTAGATGGTCAGGAAATTCATGAACTTTTTATTGAAAATGGAAATAAAACTATAGGTTTTGCGCGTCCGAAGCTCATGTCTGGATTTTCTTCATCAATAAAGCTTAAAACGAAAATTTAAATCCAGTGTGGTATAGATACGTAGAAACGTTAACGGGAGCTTCATGATCAAAAGGGGGTAAATTAATTAACCATTTATTGTGTTGATTCAAAAGCCGGAGTTGTCATGTCCGTTGTTGTTTCTTATTTATGTTTAAGTGTCACTTGTCACTGGATTCTTGGGTTACCAGATACAGAATTCAGAGAACTTTGCTTTTTCCAATCCTGCTCCTTCTTTGGAATAAGAGAGTTTCCCAGACGCAGCTTTGTCTTAATTATGTGGTTATGAGTTGATTGACTAAAAGTCATTTGGTTGAGCTTCTTCAAATCGAGGTAAATTTTTAATTGCACTGAACAGCTGAATGACTAATCAGCTGATCTGCTGATCACAAATTATTTTCAACGTTCAAACTTCAAGAGTATTTACTACAAGACTTTGCCACATGCCACATTTACCCTTAGGAAGACATACCTTTGACAATCGACGCAAACAGATTCGTTTTGCTGTTGTTTATAATCAATAAACATGTTTTTCTTCATTTTTTCACTTGCATTGTGATAAACTGCATGATAAATATAAAATGACAGATATGTATATGTGTGAGTTCATGGTCTAGTGGTTAAGGTCCTGGGTTTGATTCTGACTCGGGGCGCTAGAAATTTCAGTACATCAGAAGGGTGATTTTCACCCTCCAACACACTTCTCTGGTACCCAGACCAGAGCTTAAACTAGAATGGGTACTTTGGGGGCCTCGGTTGGTCAAAGTTGTCCCCGCCTTTGACCTGGAGATCAATCTGCTGACATCTCTTTGGTTTGTCTGTTCCCGCCGAGTGGCCCGGTGGTTCTCTCCGAGTACTTCAGTTTCTGTCACCATAATAACAGACTTTCCAGTGTCCTAGCACTCCCTTTGTGTTTGGGTGGGGATTGTCCTTGTAAATGTTGTTGTAAATATGTAAGTCCCCGATAGGGAGTGTACACATATTCCACTGTACCCTCACAGCTCTCGAGGGGTGCTCCGATTAACGGAGGAATCTACAAGAACATGCATACATATGCTCATGATACATTTTGTAAGTATGGGATATTTTTCGGTATCCAGTTATCCATCTGATTATTGATGATTCCTAACTTCTGTTCAAGCCAAGAATGCATGACTTAAGATATTTTACATTCCATAAGAGTCCAAATCTAGGACAAGGTTCTTTGTACATGTATATGGGTCATTTTAAAAAAGGTAGAATTTTGAAATTGCAAAATTGAATCAAAGCTACTACCGGTAATTCAAACAACTCTCTTCATAAGCAAATCAAGACAAACAGTACTTATGGAACAACATATAAAAAGATGCAATCTTGATAACGTCATACAAGAATATATTGAAACATTTTTTGATAGGTGGTGCAATATACTGTTACCATGTTCAGAAGAAATTTCGGGATATTTAGAAAAGGTTTCGAAGAAATTTTAAGTTTGTTTTTCATAGCAAATAAGATGGTTTTCAAGAGTAAAAAAATCTATATATTTTCATTCTGTGTAAATTGATAGATTATTTGTCAATTTTCCATGTCATGCATGTTGTACTGAAAAATACATCTAAAAATTGGTTTTCAAAGGTTATAAAAATAACCACCAGCAATACAAGTCTAAGATAGCAATTCATAATGTTCAGCATTTTTTTTCTCTTTCTAACAAACCCAACATCAAGTAATTCCCTGGCATGTTGGCTTACTTTTGTCTTTTTTTTTTTTGGTAACAGGAACGTACGTTAATGATATATCACCATATTAAGTTCTATCTTGTTACCTTTTTGTCACAGGCACTTGTTGCCTGTGTTCTTCTATTATATATGGATAGTCGACCTTCCCATGGATAGAAACAAGTGCCTGTGCTTTTGTCTATCCTTTTACTGATAGCAGTATTGCATCTGTATATGCTAAATTTCGAAGATGAAGACGTTGTGACCTTTAAATGAGCTCAAACAACCAAACATTTCATTATGTGTAAAACTATATGTAGTTATAAACTTTTTAAAGACATTTCTGTCAAATGTTGTCTATCCTGTTACTGCAACCATAGTAACTGGATAGACAAATTTCTTCATTTATGAATGCCATGAATGCTGTTGTGAAATTACTCCCTTTGATGAAGTGATAATGTTTTTCTGCTGTGATTTTGGTTTCCAACACAGAGTTGCACTTTTTACAAGTATGATATTGGTGTAATTAATAAATATGTTGGTAACCATGGTAACAGCATAGATATGACAAAAGGGTACCCACTAATTTTTTTCACTGAACGTTTGGAACTTTCTTTTCTCTACACTGTTATGCAAGAAACGTGCTGTGTTAAATTTTTAGGATGCTTTGTGCTTTTGAAATCATCACTGAATAGTTCCATATTCTAAGGGAGAAACAATTTAACAGTTAATTTAGTAGCGGTAACAGGATAGACATGCATTTGATGTACGCCGATTGAATTTAGTTTGTAAAAAAAATGTTACATAGAATAATAAAGAAGCTGTGATTTTTCATTAGAGTTGCTATTAACATTCTAAAATGGTTCCTTTTGCAGATATCAAGGCAATCAAAAAATAAGAAAAAAATCATTTAAAATGTATTACCCTGACACTGTACGCACAAAAATTACGCTAAAATCTGACTTAAATATATTTTAATCTTATCAAAATAGATCTAAATTGTGTTTATTATTGATGTTCTGACTCATAAATCCTACAAACTTTCATTTAAACACTTACCACTGCATTTTCCTTTAAAAATAAAAAATTCAGCATAGGTGTACTGAAAATTCCACATTTTTTGAAAATGACTCATATCAGGAAAAAAAGTCACACATTTGATAAATGAAGGGAATGGTCACAAATTTGGTAGAAAATAATGTCAATGTTAAGGCAAAACACACAAAAATGTATTGTAAAATATACCAGGCTTATATTTTTGTACACCAGACATGTTTCATCTATATATAGCTACTAAAGTCTCATCAGTGATGCTCAAATCAATTAAGTTATAAGGTCAAATAAATTACAAAGTTGAAGAGCATTGAGGGCCAAAAAAAATCTGAAAGGTTTTGCCAGATACAGCTAAGGTAATCTAATATTATACAAGTTGTATTTGAAACCTAGGACGAATACATGATTATATGATTAATACAGGAAACCATTTATTTTCTGTGAATAAACTAATAAAGTTAGAATACAGAGGTGTGGTAATTCAACATTTATGATTATTGCAATTGAATAAACTTTTCAAGTGTACAAACAAAATTGTGTTGAAGTTTTAAAAAAAAAATTAATTGAAGGTTATTTAACTAATTGATTGGCTTCAATATATACTATTTACATTTCTTGTCACCCATCTACTGTCTGGACAGACTAAACATTGGAAAATCACATACATGTATGTATGTCTTTGTTAGTCTTGTATTATTTTTAATTTTAGTTTCTTGTGTACAATTTGGAGTTTAGTATGACGTTCATTATCACTGAACTAGTATATATATTTGTTTAGGGGCCAGCTGAAGGACGCCTCCGGGTGCGGGAATTTCTCGCTGCATTGAAGACCTGTTGGTGGCCTTCTGCTGTTGTCTGTTCTGTGGTCGGGTTGTTGTCTCTTTGACACATTCCCCATTTCCATTCTCAATTTTATGTTGATTTATTTTTATATATATAGTTGTTATTTAAATTTGATTTGATAAATATATTGTACCAATAAAAGTTCCATTTAACTTTTAAGAAAAAAGATAAGAACTGAATACTATTAAATATTTGTAAACATTCTAATGAAATTCTTATAAAAATCTTTAAGAAGAATAAATTTAAAAATTTAATACACCAAATTCACTGATCTTTTGACCATTCACCTCTGTGTTAAATTTCATTGACCTTTAGGATAATTCAAATGCTTTAGAAGGTACTTGAAAAACAATTTTGAGATTCAACTTGTGTTTAAATTTTTTTTTTAGATGATGGAAAATTCTGAGGAAAACAAGCTCTTACCAGATGTAAATGTGGCATCGTGTGATCAGTCTATGACATCAGCTGAGATACACTGGAGTAGCCATTCTGAATACATACCACAAAGTCAAAGCAGCATTATAATAGAGGAGGACAAAAGTCATCAAAAAGTAGGGTAGGTACACAAAATGTATTGTAATATTTAAAACAGGTCTTTTGAGGATGATTGATGCCTGTCAAAAATAATTTCTAAAAGTCTGTTAGTCAAAAAGAAATGGGGTATATGTTACATTGTGTAATAAGACAAGACACCCAAATCATAAATTGCCATATGGCAACTAAAGATGAATAACTTTATAACAATAGATGATGTACTTTAAAATTCCCTGAATATCGACAATTTCCAAACTTTTTAAACAAAAATGACAGAAAATCAGAAAGTGAACTCGATCTACAAATAGACCAACAACAACAAAAAAATAATGGTGGCTGAACTGTCTTGAAATATAGTGGCCAGTAACTACATATAGTGCTTAGTGGCAGATAAGAATACAGTACTATATAAAGTGGCATGCCATGACATTACAAATCATCATGTTTTCACTACTACACGAACCACCATATATAGTTTCAAATCCTAAAGCTGCTTTTTAGTTTCTGTACTTAATATGGGACAGACACTCACCCATGTGGCAGGTTGATTTTAATGTTTGAGTACTCAAGATATAAAATAAGGAGATGTGGTATGATTGCCAATGAGACTATCTGCCAAAGTTCAAATGGAGTGGATGTAAGCAATTATAGGCAACCGTACGCCCTTCAACAATGAGAAAAACCCATGCCGTATAGTCTGCTATTAAAGGCTTCGACATGAAAAGTATGAAACAATTCAATTGAGTAAACTAACGGCCTAATTTATAACAAAACAATGTACCGTAAGAAAAACAAATATGACAGACATGGAACAACGACAACCATGCACTGAATTACAGACTCCTGACTTGGGACAGGCACATAAAGAATGTGGCGGGGTTAAACATGTTTGTGAGTGCTCAATGTTCCTTTTATTTTCTTGAGCGATGTCTGGATGTTGTTGTTAAACAGTAAAATTTGCCATAAATTCAGTGGGGGTATAATAGCGGGTATTATAGCCTCCTACAAAAGTTAAGTAACTGTTATCTGTATTTCATGTTAAGGATATTTTAAGTAACCGTATCTTGGTATGTAAACCCTTTGAATGGCTGGTATAATTTGTACATTGTATTTCAGAAATTGTTCAAGTTTGATGCATCTGTTGAAAGGCAACATAGGAACAGGTATATTAGCCATGCCATCTGCAATCAAAAATGCTGGATTATGGGTAAGAAGTTATGTAGATCGGTTTAGTAAAAGTATAATGACACAAAAGATTATTTGGTTATGAATTGTTGATGTTTGATTTTTTTAAATTTTCAAACAAATGTCCTCTATAGTAAATCCTATTCTCCACACATTTTTGAACATAGATTGATATTGTATGCATTATATATATTGGAAGGTAGTGTTCAAATTTAGGCCAGCAGATAAGCCAGTTGTTGTTTTGAATGACCTGTTAAAATGAAATATAATGGAAATGGTAAAGATATCTGCAAAATAAATCTTTGGAACAGCAGTTTTTCTTGTAGAATTTAAAACACTGTAAATAGGATATATTTTGGTTGATCTATAGAAAATAAGTTGACAAACAGCTGTTTTGTCACAAATCAACTTCAAATTTTTTGATTACCTCATTTTCATGGAATACAGCTGCTTTAGACTTTGAAAAAAATTGATAATAAAATGTACCTGTCTAGGATTCTTTTCACAATTCCTGTAGATAACGAGCTGATTGTTAATTCATTAGGGTGTATTAATGAGTTACAGATCAAGTTTGCATTTCGTTACAAATGACTACATTTCATGACATCACAGGGTCATCCCATCACCCGACTGTCATGGGAATTTATGTCATCTTACTTGTTTAATCTTTTTATACGACCGCAGAAATTAAAAAAATTTTGGTCGTATATTGGTATGACGTTGGCGTCGTCGTCGTAGTCCGAAGACACATTGGTTTTCGCACTCTAACTTTAGTTTAAGTGAATGGATCTCCATGAAATTTTACCATAAGGTTCAATACCACAAAAGGAAGGTTGGGATTGATTTTGGGGGTTATGGTACCAACAGTTAAGGAATTAGGGGCCAAAAATAAGCATTTTTGTAACTTCCAGACATTACTTGTGTGTTAGTGTATGGATCTCTCTGACATTGTACCACAAGGTTCCATATCACAAAGGGAATGCTGGTATTGATTTTGGGGGGTAATTGCCTTAAAATTTTAGGAATTAGGGGCCAAAAAAGGGGCAAAAAACAAGCATTTTTCTAGTTTCATGATAATAACTTGTGTGTCAGTGTATGGATCTTTCTGAAATTGAACTACAAGGTTCCATATCACAAAGGGAAAGCTGGAATTGAGTTTGGGCGTAATTGCCTTAAAATTTTAGGAATAAGGGGCCTAAAAGGGGCCAAAAATAGCATTTTTCTAGTTTCCTGACAATTACTTGTGTTCAAGTGTATGGATCTCTCTGAAATTGTACTGCAAGGTACCATACCACAAAGGGAAGACTGGGATTGATTTTGGGGGTAATTGCCTCAAAATTTTAGGAATTAGGGGCCAAAAAGGTGGAAAAACCAAGCATTTTTCTAGTTTCAGGACAATAACTTGTGTGTAAGTGTATGGATCTTTATTAAATTGTACTAAAAGGTTCCATATCACAAGAGGAAAGCTGGGTTTGAGTTTGGGCGTAATTGCCCTAAACGTTTAGGAATTTGGGGCCAAAAAGGGGCCTAAAAACAAGCATTTTTCTAGTTTCCAGACAATAACTTGTGTTCAAGTGTATGGATCTCTCTGAAATTGTACTGCAAGGTACCATACCACAAAGGGAAGGCTGGGATTGAGTTTGGGGGTGATGAATCATAAGGGGGTTCAAAAAATTTGGGGGGGGGGGATTTTTTTTTTTTTCCTTTTTTTTCTTTTTTTCCTTTTTTTTTCTTTTAAAATTTTCCATTTTAAGTTGGTTATTTCTGAATTATATTTAAAAACAAATAATAATGATATGGTAGGAGATAAACACCAAACAGGATGTGTAAATTATTATATAATAAGTATTGTGCAATAGCAAGAAATTTTCAATTGCACAGTATTGCACAATAGCAAGAAATCTTCAATTGCACAGTATTGCGCAATAGCAAGAAATCTTCAATTGCACAGTATTGGGCAATAGCAAGAAATATCCAATAGCACAATATTGCGCATTAGCAAGAAATTGTCAATTGTACAGTATTGCGCAATAGCAAGAAATATTCAATTGCACAGTATTGTGCAAAAGAAGATACTTCGTATAAATTGCTTATTTCTTGACCAATTTCAATGGGGTTTTATTCTTGAATTCTTGGGGTTCTTTAATATGCTGAATCTAACCGTGTATTAAGTTTTTGGATTTTGGGCCCCGTTTTTAAATTGGTCCACATTGAGGTCCAAAGGGTCCAAAATTAAACTTTGTTTGATTTCATCAAAAATTGAATTATTGGGGTTCTTTGATATGCCGAATCTAACCGTGTATTTAGATTCTTAATTTTTGTTCTTTAATACTTGCCCCAACTGTTCAGGGTTCGACCTCTGCGGTCGTATCAAGCTGCGCCCTGCGGAGCATTTTATTTGTATTAAAATTCTGTACTAAAAGTTACTTTGAGCATGTAAAATGACATTCTTCCTGCACTATTCATGACTTAACTGTATAAAATCTACATGTGGATGTACAATGACTGATATTAGAAAGTAGGACAACATTACTTCTATGTCAGTAGATAAATTACTTCAAGCTTTCTGTCAGTAACTGACACCATTATTTGATACAGTATTATGTAGCATTGTTTACTTATACCTGTGTTTTGGGGGTGGGAGAGGAAGGTTGTAAAAATTTTATATTATACATTAATGTTTGTTTTGTTTTTTTTTTGACTGATTTTTATTGTTCATTCTTATAGGTACCTTTTGTTGAGTTAGTCAAGACTAGTTTAACAACTACATTTGTTAATGTGCTTTCACAAGTCAGGAATCACCTTGTCTTTTTCTAATATATGTTTATCCTTTTAAGAAATTGTTGGTGTTACAGGCATATCTTATATAATATCTGTTGATTTTATTTACAACTTTTTGGGTGATTAAAAGATTGATTTATTAAGAGACAATTTGGGATCATTTGAGGGTTTTTTGTTGGTTGGTTGCTGTCTCATTGATGTTTATCCTACATCTTTTATACATATTAATATATAATGGTATCACCAGTAAATAGACATAAATACAATTACTTCTAATAATCTGTAACCATCAGTGTTGTAGTTTACTGTTATTGACTAGGGCCTTTGATATAATGGTAAGGAGTTATTATTACAAAATTTGAAATAATATTTTTGATGCTCCAAACATATAGCTAATTACCTTATTTCATGATTTTTTTTTTAACTTAGGTTGGAACCATTGGTATATTGGCCATTGGAGGAATTGCTATATACTGTATGCATATGCTCCTTAATTGTTGTAACATTCTATGCAAAAGGTAAGTCATAGAATTGAGAATGGAAAGGGGGAATGTGTCAAAGAGACAATTACCCGACCAAAGAGCAGAAAACAGCCCTATTCCACCAATGGGTCTTCAAGCAGCGAGAAAATCCTGTACCTATATGCGGGCTTCAGCTGGCCCCTAAACAATAATGTATACTAGTTCACCTAAATGGACGCCACACTAAACTCCAAAACATATAAATAAACCAAAATTTAAAAATATACAAGACTAACAAAGGCTTGAGGTCCCTGACTTGGGATAAGCGCATAAATGCGACTGGGTTAAAAAAATGTTTTGTGATATCTCAACCCTCCCCCTATACCTTTAGCCAATGTAGAATAAACAAACACACAACAATACACACAGTAAAACTCAAGTTTCAGCTTAGAACACAGCAGGGTAAATCTACTGTTAACTCTGAAAAGAAGATAGGGTACCATAAAAGACAGCAGTTTGAGGTACAATCGTACAATTACTGTTAATTCTGTGTAGTAGTAAGGGAATCATAAAAGAAAGAGTATAACGTTATTAGCTGTGTGTAGAAGGTTAGACACATTAAACAGAAGATTGATGTATACATTTTATATACCTGTATTCTGCATAGATGGTTATTAGAAACTGGTACCTCATACAATACATTTTGTATTTATAAAGATACAGAGATATGGTATTATTGCTATTGAGACAACTATCACCTGAGTAATTATATATATACATATATATATATATAATTTATATATTCTATATATAAGGTAAGACATTTTATACAGTTAAAAAAAAATCCTGGTGTTTGTTGAAATGAATCTGGAACAATACACTCACAGAGAAATAAAAGTCTGAAGGACTTGTAGGTAAAAGTTTTTAAGGAAGTACTATACTGTAATACAAGTCTGAAGGACTTTAAAGTCAAGTTTTTGAGGGAAGTACTCCAGTTTACAATTCAATATGAACAATTATGGAAATACATTAAGTTCTTTTCTTTATTTTTTTTTTTAACCAATGTTAATTGTACATTATGTTTACATGATTTGTATGTGAAGCCACCAAGTTTTATATATTGGTATAACGTAGCCTGGTGAACATGATCTATCAAAAATAAAGTGGCATAAAAATCACTAGCAAATGTGCTTATAACTTATTATAGTATAAAGTATTTCTAATAATGCAAATGATGTGGATAGCAATGTACAACTGTTGTAATATTCTGTGTAGGATTTTGTAGAAAACAGCAGTTTTTGTATTGTAATTTCTTTGTAACTATGCTCCTTAGTTATTGTAAAAGCCACTGTTTCTTTCTTCCATATACATGTACAATCTATAAGGAACTGTATTAATGTTCTTTAAGTTAAGATTCATAATACTTTTTCAACGGTATGGACTAATATACCTTAAATCATAATGGTGATTGTACAGTGCTGTTGATTGATTGATTGCTGATTGCTTAATGTCCTGTGGCAAATATTTCATGCATATTTAGACCACAGTGCTGTTGAAAACAGTTTTGATAAAATATGGCAAAATTTTGTATGTAGGGACATGTAGTACAAAAATTGATTAATTTGCATCAGATAGACAATGTTTAGCTTTATTTTACAACCAAAAGTTGATTGTGATTCCAAATGTTTTTTCTATTAATTTTGGGCTAAAATTAGAAACTATAAAAAAAAAACCCATCATAAATCTGATTAGATATTGACATTGAAAATAGTTTAAATTGTACACGAGTAACTTGATGCTGTTTATACTGATGTATTTACAAGTTGTGTATTTTTAATAATTTTGTTTGCAGAGTTAATAAACCTACCTTAGATTATGCAAGTATACTTGAAACAGCTCTACAAACTGGACCAGAAAGACTACGACGGTGGTCAAGTGTAGGAAGGTAAATTCCATTATTGATATAATATTGTGGTGTAATCTTTCTTTGCTTACTAAGGCAACATGATAAATTATAGAAATTTTTTTATCCAAAAGATCTACTCATTTGACCTCAACTCCTTTTCTTTTCTTGTCAGTCATTAACACAGTTGCAGTCCATTCATATCTTCTAATGTATGTATTTTTCTTGAAACTAATCTGTCAAAAAAATCTCTGCTTTTTGCAAGATTTTTTTTTGGTTTAAATTTATTACAAAATTGCCATTTAGGTCTTCTTTTTTTATTTTAATCAATTGAAGAAAAATTCAGGAATCAATTTTCTTAGTTTTTTCTTTTATATATATAATATATATATAGACCATTGTCATAGTTTGTGTATATATAATATATATATATATATATAATTGTCATAGTTTGTGTATATTATATCAGAAGTCCATTACTAGACGAAGTGTACAAGCTGTACTATATAGTAAGGCGATCACGATGTCCCCATTATCAGTGGAAAGCCCCATAGGTGGTCCTCCCAAATCTCATTTTATAACTATGGAATCATGGGTACAAATATTATCATCAAACAGATAGCTGTTAATTAGTCTCCTCGAGTGTTTGATTAATTATCAGTTTATTGTAAATGAAGTGTGCCGACTTAGTGCGGTGGTTTCTTATTGCCAGTTATTTAACTTCGTTTTAATTCAACATTTAGAAAATGATATAAAATTTTATAAACAAATACATTGGTACCATTTTTCAATGAGAACTATAAAATCTGCCGTGTCGGACTAAAAATGTATCGTCTATTTAAAAGATACAGTTGTTTTTGTCAAAATATAGTCATAATTGCCTCTTTTTTTGATATAGCACGTTGTGTTGACGAATTATGTCTCGGTTACTTAGGGCATCAAGGAAGCTATATAAGGTGGTGAATAAGCAAAAGACAGGTTTTTTCTTCGCTTCTACCGAAATACATTTGTCAAAAAATATCCGACCATTTGTTGCTTCCGATGACTTCGAAACAATTTCAAATTTCAAACATCTCTTGTCTTTTATCTATTTCAAATTAAGAGACATAGTTTTTTTGTCGAGCCTGCGACTTTTGTCGCAGAAAGCTCGACATAGGGATAGTGATCCGGCGGCGGCGTTAGCTAACTTCTTAAAAGCTTTATATTTTAGAAGGTGGAAGACCTGGATGCCTGATGTTATGAAGTTTCCGTCAGTCACATGTCCAATGTCCTTGACCTCATTTTCATGGTTCAGTGACTACTTGAAAAAAAAGTTAACATTTTTTGTAATGTTAAATTCTCTCTTATTATAAGTAGTAGGATAACTATATTTGGTATGTGCATACCTTGCAAGGTCCTCATGCCCGTCAGACAGTTTTCACTTGACCTCAACCTCATTTCATGGATCAGTGAACAAGGTTAAGTTTTGGTGGTCAAGTCCATATCTCAGATACTATAAGCAATAGGTCAAGTATATTCGGTGTATGGAAGGACTGTAAGGTGTACATGTCCAACTGGCAGGTGTCATCTGACCTTGACCTCATTTTCATGGTTCAGTGGTCAAAGTTAAGATTTTGAGTTTTGGTCTTTTTTTCTAATACTATATGCAATAGGTCAACTATATTTGGTGTATGGAAATATTTTATGATCTATATGTTAGTTGCGTAGGTTTTATTTGACCGTGACCTAATTTTCACAGTTCATTGCTCAGTGTTAAGTTTTTGTGTTTTGGTCTGTTTTTCTAAAACTATAAGCAAGAGGTCAACTATATTTGTTGTATGGAAGAATTGTTAGCTGTACATGCCTGCCTGGCATGGTTCATCTGACCTTGACCTCATTTTCATGGTTCATTGGTCAATGTTTAGTTTTCTTGGTTAATGTTAAGTTTATGTGACAGTTGTAATAAAGCTTTATATTTAGGACTATCAACATAATATCAATGATTAGTAAAGAAGGCGAGGCATTTCAGCGTGTGCACTCTTGTTACTCTTCTCCTGTCTGTCCTTCATTACGTTCGCCATCATAAGATGTATACGTGAGTCAGTGTTGCAACGTGTAATAGTCCTTTTTTTTTTGTTTTATACTCACAAGACTGAAGACATCTGTAGATCATGCGGATTAAAGTTTTGATTTATCGTGTGTTGCTAGCTTTACGTTCAGTGGCAAATATATCATGCATTTCAGGCCCATCAAAGAGTTGTCGCAAGTGTTATATTTAACATCAGAGATCGTAACATTCATCCTGAATACGCGAGGTACTGGATTTAAAGTCCCTAATCCGACCTGTTGCTATTAATGTATACATCCCACACTTGTAAGAAAGGGTTTTACTGTTGGAACCGGACAGTTCCAGGGATTACTTTATTTCTTTATGGCCCAACTTAACCCTTGAGATTGATTTAGTATTTTAACAAATTAAACTACAGCTATAGGTTTTTGAAGTAAGACTTCATCATATTTCTGTATGAAGTATACTTACATAAAGAATATATATTTATTACTCATTTGTTTACAAAGATCGTGATCGCAACTTGTCCAACAATTTTAATCTATAAAATTTATACGTCGAATGCACGTGTTGTGAACGGCATTTTTTACATGTATTTTAACGGATAAATGTAACAATATCTGAATGAAATGATAACCTTTGTTCGTCCACACCATCATCCGCGGTAGTATTACCGTCAAGATCTCAGTTACACAGGATCGAAGATATTCGAAATTGAAGAAAGGGTATACAATTAAATTTCCCCTCTTTTTTTAGCTCACCTGACCCGAAGGGTCAAGTGAGCTTTTCTCATCACTTGGCGTCCGTCGTCCGTCGTCATCGTTAGCTTTTTACAAAAATCTTCTCCTCTGAAACCACTGGGCCAAATTTGACCAAACTTGGCCACAATCATCATTAGGGTTTCTAGTTTTAAAAATGACCCCGCCAACCAACCAAGATGGCCACCATGGCTAAAAATAGAACATAGGGGTAAAATGTAGATTTTGGCTTATATCTCTGAAACCAAAGCATTTAGAGGAAATCTGACAAAGGGTAAAATTGATTATCAGGTCAAGATCTATCTGCCCTGAAATTTTCAGACAAATCTGACAACCTGTTGTTGGGTTGCTGCCCCTGAATTGGTAATTTTAAGGAAATTTTGCAGTTTTTGGTTATTATCTTGAATATTATTATAGATAGAGATAAACTGTAAACAGCAATAATGTTCAGCAAAGTAAGATCTACAAATAAGTTGGCATGACCAAAATTGTCAGTCGACCCCTTTAGGAGTTATTGCCCTTAATAATCAATTTTTAACAATTTTTCGTAAATTTTTGTAATCTTTTACAAAAATCTTCTTCTCTGAAACTACTGATACAAATTTAACCATACTTGGCCATAATCATTATTAGGGTATCTAGTTTAAAAATTTTGTCCGATGACCCCGCCAACCAACCAAGATGGCCGCCATGGCTAAAAATAGAACATAGGGGTAAAATGCAGTTTTTGGTTTATATCTCTGAAACTAAAGCATTTAGAGCAAATTTGACAGGTGGCAAAAATGTTCATCAGATTTAGATTTATCTGCCCTGAAATTTTCAGACAAATCCGACGACCCGTTGTTGGGTTGCTGCCCCTGAGTTAGTAATTTTACAAAAATTTTGCAGTTTTTTGTTATTATCTTAGATATCATTATAATATCTAATATCTAATACTATTAATTATGATTTTAACCTTATTTTACATGATTTCCAAATTAAATCAATAAATCAGTAAATACAGGTGAGTGACACAGGCTCTTGAGAGCCTCTAGTTTCAAAATTGAGGGTACAATTTGTTAATTTTGCTAAAAATGGTTATATCTGCAGAATTCCTGTTTAACTTTTAAAAAAAATTATTTCTTGAAATTTGTAATTCGTAACATATATTCTTAAAATAAATATAATAGAATGTTTATTCCTATTAAACTCATTCCTAATCCAGCGTTACTTGTACTGTATATGGATACACAATTCTCCGACCTAATTTTTCCTTGCCAACTTTTTAATGGCAATTTTTTCACAATTAACTCTAAAATCAAACGGAAGTGAGCTTTTTTATTCCGTCTGACAATTTTTTCTACGGATATAAATGTAGTTTTTAAATTGATAAATTATACAAACATATTTATCCTTTAATATTAAAACCATCATATATAATGACTCATGACACTGATATAATATGCTAGGATCTGCTATTCATTAACACGTCGATGGTCAAACATTATTTTCAACAGTGTGCTAATTAGTTTATAGGGTGTTTTTCATAAATTATCTCTACCCAGAATGCATTGCAAAAAAATTGGCCATTGATTTTATTACTATTAATAGCAATCTCGCTCAAATCCCGTTTCAATCACAGTTGGAAGTACGGGGACAACGTGATCGCCTTACTATATAGCGGGTTGCATACTTCGTCTAGTAATGGACTTCTGATTATATGTATAAACAAACAATTGTCATAGTTTGTGTATTGAATACATAAATATCAGAATTTTTATTAGTCAATTATTATATGTTATATTGGTCCTAAACATATTCATTTATATAAAGAAAAAAAAAAGTATCAATATTTTTTGGGAAAAAAAATTTAGATACATTTCCTGTATAAACTACAAGTCAGTCAAAGGGATTTTAACTGTCTGTACCTAACTTTTTGTTTCATATATTTAAAGGAATAATTTTATATTTGTGGCTGGAAATTTTTAATGTTGCATTTTACTGTGTAAGCCATTTTCCATTTGACGTGATTCAGGCATTCATTTCCTGTTTGAGGATACTTTGAATTTTTATAATACCCATTGAGCATTAAAAATTTTCCTCAATATCTAATAATGTGTTGATTATACTTTGCATGAAATCATATGCAATGTCTAGCTTTGTCTGATTTCCTTACACTCCACAAAATCAATAAGTATTTTCTACTTTACAATGATGATTACATATGATGACACAACCTTCTAAGAATCATGTTTATGTAATTGTTTTATTTTTCAGAATGGTGGTCATTATTTTTTTAGTGATGACACAGATAGGATTTTGTTGTGTTTATCTTGTATTTATAGCACAGAATGTTAAACAGGTATTGAAATAAGTATTTTTGTCTGTATTTTGGAAACAATTTTATTTACATGTAAGACCTTTTTGGTTGACAAATTTTTGATAAAGAAATGTTTTGGAACCCTTTATTTAATCATTGAGAAAGAAAATTACTTTTCAAAATGTTGATGTTTTTCTTTACACAGATAATGATTCAACTTGCTGCTAATTTTTGGTAAACTGAGAATTGAGGATGAAAAATATCTTCTTTTATTTCTATCGATAAAGATTTTTTTTTTTTTGTAACATTTAAGTTTAATCGTCATGGACCAGTTATTGGTATTAACTATTTGTAGTCATTTTATGCAATAATCAATGTGTTGCTTAAAGGCAACATACTGAATAAAAAATCTGTATAGAAATTTATAATGTATTAGTATTTTGAATGATACTTGGTTACTCTTGCTTGATAGAAAAATTGGTTATCAACTTGATGTCTATTTAACCTAAATACTGAACCACAATGTATTTGTAAATTGTATTTATTACAGGTGATAGATTCTTTCCATAAAGGTGGTCCACCTGTGTTTGTATATATAGTTGTTACCACTGCACTAATTATACCATATACATTTGTACGAGATCTGAAGCACCTGGCGCCATTTTCTACATTTGCCAATTTACTCAACTTTGTTGGTCTCATCATCATATTTCAAGACTTATTTCAAGGACTACCTAATCCAAGCAAAAGACCAGCATACAAACCTATAGATAATCTGCCTTTGTATTTTGGGACAGCTATTTATGCATTTGAAGGAATTGGTCTGGTATGTATAGTAAATTGGATGCCACTTTCTGTATAATTGAGCTCAGAGAAAGGTTTGGTAATCATTTTGATTTCTAGATGCCTGAAAATTTTTGCACCATGAGCATTTAGTCCTTGCGTAGTTGTGCTGTTTTTTTATGATAACTCTAGTATCTTATTTTTACAGGTGCAAAATTACCAATAATAGTATGTTTTCTTTTTTTCTCCAAGCATACTATTTAGAACCCTTGAAATACTAGACAGACAATACCTGGTAATCACCTTTGTTTTCTCTCAATAAATAAGCAGTACAACACAGAGCATATGTTGACACTTGACTCTACTGTGCCAACTACATGAACAAAATGTATTTACTTGTTGTTCATGTTTTATACAATAAAAGATGTGTCAAGTGTACTTTGATCTCACATGCATAGATTAATTGATAAAACATATGTATATGTTTAGATAATTGAGTATGTGACACTGTCATTTTAATTCTTATTAACCTTAATATGGAATTTGATTATTTCCTGAAAAGACAGAAAAGACTTTAAATTGCCTCAGACTTGTTGATGACATGAAATACATCCTAACCCTATCAATATAGAGTTTAGTATCAATTTGGAAATAAGGAATTTACAAAAAGAATTTTACATTTCTTCAATAAATCTTTGATTGTTCTATACCTGGAGACTTTACATGTGTCAGCAATTGCATATATAACACTGTATAAGATCAAAACTGCTGATGTCATTTTGGTAAATAATTTAAACATTTTTTTACTTGTATACTATTTCCTGAAATAACTACCTGCTACAATGCATCCAAAGTAGTCTTCACTCTTCACCAACCGTATTTCCTATTTACAGGTTATGCCAATACAAAATAAAATGAGATACCCACATGACTTTGGAGGTCATTCAGGAGTATTAAACCTAGGAATGGTTATAGTCACATGTCTGTATACAGCTACAGGTTTCTATGGTTACCTAAAGTTTGGTGATGGTTCATTAGGAAGTGTCACTCTCAATCTTCCTGCCAAAAATTGGTAAGCAACACAGTATTAAACAGGGAGCTTAGATAAATTGGTTAATTAAGCAAATAAATGGTACACACAAAAGAATACAGCAAGAATTGAAATCAAAATGGAACAAATGAGAGTTTTTGGGATACGAGTGCCGTCAGGCAATCTGTAGACTTTTACCATTGACTCCCTTCCAAGACTCTCACGTCAACCATTTTGTGTTTACATTAATAGGAACCACTCAGATTCTTAAGATTGTCCTGTTTGAAAAGTAATAACAAACAAAGAGATTGAATTTAAACCATATTCTGTTAAATTTCTTCTCATAATCCTCCTGTTTTGATATCTCCCTTTTTCATTAGCGTTTATTTTCCAATACGGAAAATCAGAATTAAGCAGTATTTATATTTTGGGTTTTATATATTTAGAATCACGTCAGAGAGGGAATTCCGTAACCCGAATAATCCAGTCGTCATATTACGATCACTTCGATCACTCCATTAACGCCGGTCAACCAGAAATTAAAAGTAAGCTGCATCATGGGATCAATGTATCCTGACGTATGGCGCGAAAAAAGGAGGAGTTTAAAATTGTTTGTAAATATGTGCAATGGAGAACGAAACGTGTTTTCAATGTACACACGTGTTTGAACAAGAGAATTTAGTGAAGGAATGCAGACGAAATATTCAGAAGATTCACGGTGAAATCGATATAACTAGAAGAAATTTTGAAGTCAATTTACGGTGGTGTTGAACTGCATGATGGTTTTGAACAAGAATCACTTCATTAATTTGAATTTTCCAAATTTCATGGAATTTTATTGTACTACCTGGATTGGGTAAATTTGATCAAAAGGACAAAATTTTGAAGGAAAAACAATTTTAATGTAATTTTTTTAGTATTTTACTGAGAAATTAAAATGTACTCAGTTATTTGTAATGGGGGAAAGTAATTTAGACATCAATGAACATGATGAATAGCTTTTTTTTTAACAAGACATCAATGAATAACTAGTATTTATATCTCAGTCATCAAAATTTCCTTAAACATGTTAATGTATTAAATGAACAGTGGACATAATCAAGAAATGCATCAGAAGAAAAAGGTTGATTATTTCATACTGACAGAAGATACAGAAGCATGAGTAGCAAAATCTCATGTACAAAAAGCGTATGGAACTTATAATTTGGTACGCTAGAAATGCTACATAAAACTCATCAGTGGCACATGAATCAAAACAGTAAGAAAGTCGAATCAAATACAAAGTTGAAAGTTGAAGAACATAAAAAACAGGGTTTAGTTTAATCCATTAATTTTTTTTGTCAAATTGAGATACCGTTTTCCAAAAAGCTTTTCATTAATGATAGAATTTACAATCTTACCCGGGATCATCATTTAAATGTGTGCGATTTTGGAAGACGTCTAGGATTTTAACATTTTGGGCTATATGAATCCTAAACCCAAAGAAAGAACCGATTGACTTTTGTGTGCTTGTACAAATGTATATTTTTGACACTTAGTATGTGGGATTGATAACATACATTTAGAAGGAATCTATACTACTAAAGGAAGAGACTGATTTCATTGAGCCCAAAATCCTCTGAAACCATACAAAGTCGGAAATAATTGTGATATCATGTATAAATCTAGTGTTTTGTTCTTCCTAAATTTGTCTTTGAAACACTTGTTTTTCCATAGAAAATGCCAATTTTTGAGAAAACATCTGAATTTCGGAGACCGTTAATGATCTTTGTCTTATACGCTGTCGTGCATGCTCAATCGACGTACTGCACACGAAATCTAACTAATATAGGACAATGGTGTTGATTGAAAATTAGGAAATTCCAGGCCAGATCCCAATAGTACCTGTTACCTGTTGCATAATCTGTACTTTCCGACTGTCAGGTGCACCACCAAACGGTGTATATGGGATCAAAATCACACCTGAACTTTGTCATTATACTGACTAATATCAATGAAAACAATGGCAATCGTATCCCTCAGATCTATCATGCTCTTTGATTCTCTATATGGTAACATTGTCTTGTAGCTATCAATCAGCATTGGTATCAAGTTATAGAATAGTCATTTTTGTCTGGCTTCGAAGAAGTTGCAGAGGCAAGACTTCATACTGTTTATTGCATCAGCTGTATTACTAATTGTTAAAGCTTGTGATTAGGTCAGTTTAAAGGGAATCATTATTGGAAGGTTAGTTGTAGTAGCATTGACACATCTCATTTGCATGGAGATTTGATTCCACACCCTGATTTTTCATACCTGCCAACTTTTCAAAATCTCCATGGGGGATTTTAAGCGCAAGAGGACCTTACGGCTTATCTTATATTGTCTTAAGTGTTTTTATTCTTCTACTATATTGTTTGAATGAGTATGTATGTGCTTAAATACCTTTTTAACTCATTTGAATGCCTGTTTTAAGGTGTTATGTTTATGTAATAGAGAATTTCTAAATTCAGGTCAACACCTCTCATGGGGGAAATCCCCCATAAATTGGGATAGTTGGCAGGTTTGCTTTTTTTGGCCCCAGTTGGAAGGCGAAGGGGGCATTAAGTGTTATCCTTGACTGTCCGTCTGTCCCTTTTTCGTTTCCCAACTTTAACATCAGTTTGCCTCATGCAAAATTTATGAAACTCATACACAATGCTAAGAACCAAAACTCATAGACAGAGTCTAGTTTGACTGTAATACCCATAGACAAATAAAATTAAGAATGAAAATGGGGAATGTGTCAAAGAGACAACAACTCGACCATAGAACAGACAACAGCCGAAGGCCACCAATGGGTCTTCAATGCAGCGAGAAACTCCCGCACCCGGAGGCATCCTTCAGCTGGCTCCTAAACAAATATGTATACTAGTTCAGTGATAATGGACGTCATACTAAACTCCAAATTATACACAAGAAAGTAAAATTAAAAATGATACAAGACTAACAAAGGCCAGAGGCTCCTGACTTGGGACAGGCGCAAAAAATGCGGCGGGGTTAAACATGTTTTTTTGAGATCTCAACCCTCCCCCTATACCTCTAGCCAATGTAGAAAAAACAAACGTACAACAGTACGCACAGTAAAACTCAGTTTAAGAGAAGTCCGAGTTCGATGTCAGAATAGGAAACAAAAGAAAATAAACAAAATGACAATAATACATAAATAACAACAGACTACTAGCAGTTACTGACATGCCAGCTCCAGACCTCAATTAAACTGATTGAAAGATTATGTCTTTCATCATATGAATATTAGGCACAATCCCTCCTGTTAGGGGTTTAGTATTATACCATCATAAAATATATGAGAAGAACATAACCCGTGTCATGCCAACAACTGGTTTTAGAATAAATATGTTTAATTCCGATGCAAAGACCCTATAAGTGAATCAATATTAAAGCCAAAATATGCAATCTTTAATGACCTGACAACAGTATCGTAACTATATCCCTTCTTGTGAGTGGCTAAAACAAAAGGATTTATGAGGTAGAACTTTCTTGCAAAAAAAAAAACTGTGATAAAATTTTAATATATTTTATGTTTATTTTACAGGTTATATATATCAGTAAACCTGTTATTTGCCCTGTCTATGTTTATAACCTATGGATTACAGTTTTATGTACCTATAAAAATCACTTGGCCTTGGATTTCTAGTAAAATTACATCCAGAAGATGGCAGAATTGTTCAGAATATATATACAGAACTATATTAGTATTACTCACATGTAAGTTGAACTACATCAATAGATCTAGAAACAGCTGAAAAAAAAGACCTGTGAAAATATTTTTTGTATCTATTAATATATCAATATTACATTTATACCTGCATGCTCTTAATGGCATATGATACAGTTTTGATACCACAGTGATATTTAACGAAAATTTGCGTACAAGCTTTTTTACACCTAGTCAATTCAAATATGTAATAACAAATATACCTTCATGTGCTACTTGAAGAGCTCAAAGGGGTTGAAATTTTGGTTCCTTGACATTTCTATCCTTTGGACAGACATACCTAATTTTTTTGTTTCAAAAGATAAACACAAGCAGTTTTTTTGTAAAAAAAAACTTACCTGTGATTTGTTCATTAAATTTGGTACAAGTAAGCTTCATACATAATAAAGTCAATTGTCATTTTAAAAAGAGTAAACATTACTTGTTTTCATGTTAATGATTAAAATCTGTAAAAAAAAACATCTTTTCCTGAATAACAACATTTTACATTAGCGATGTTATTGCCTCCCATGTAACTGTACTGTATGCCTAAAGCCTTTTTGGATTAAAACTTTTTTGTTGAACTAGGTGTTCTATTCACACATACTAAAAGATGAGCTTTTTTATATGATCATTTATCAAAGATTAGGGCCTCTAACATTACCAAACAGGGAAGTAATTTAAATCCTGTGAATCCTAATACAAAACATAAAAGTAAGTGTAAAAGCCTTAAAATATCCTTGTCATATACTGTCATTAGAGAATAATTTGATATGTGTGGCAAATTATTTTTTAGGAAGTAAATGTTTAAGTATGGTAAGTTGAGGAGTTTTTAACATGAGTATTCAGAGAGTTGTAATTCCCTCATTCCAGTATTAATGCTCTTCAGTATAATGCAAATGTTCATTCCAGACACAAGCTCCTACCTCACAGAAGTTCTAAGCTTCAAGCTTGCCTCATTCTTCACCAAAATTTACTGTTTACCATTTATTATTTGTTCCATGAACTTTCAATTCCAAATCATTGAGTTGATACTCATTTTAATACGACTGCAAAAAAATTTTGCGGTCGTATATTGGTGTGACGTTGGGGTCGTCGTCGTCCGAAGACACATTTTTTTTCGCACTCTAACTTAAGTTTAAGTGTATGGATCTCTATGAAATTTTACCATAAGGTTCAATACCACAAAAGGAAGGTTGGGATTGATTTTGGGGGTTATGGTACCAACAGTTAAGGAATTAGGGGCCAAAAATAAGCATTTTTGTAACTTCCAGACATAACTTGTGTGTTAGTGTATGGATCTCTCTGACATTGTACCACAAGGTTCCATATCACAAAGGGAATGCTGGGATTGATTTTGGGGGTAATTACCTCAAAATTTTAGGAATTAGGGGCCAAAAAAGGGGCAAAAAACAAGCATTTTTCTAGTTTCATGACAATAACTTGTGTGTAAGTGTATGGATCTTTCTGAAATTGTACTACAGGGTTCCATATCACAAAGGGAAAGCTGGAATAGAGTTTGGGGGTAATTGCCCAAAACGTTTAGGAATAAGGGGCCAAAAAGGGACCAAAAATAAGCATTTTTCTAGTTTCCAGACAATAACTTGTGTTCAAGTGTATGGATCTCTCTGAAATTGTACTGCAAGGTACCATACCACAAAGGGAAGGCTGGGTTTGATTTTGGGGGTAATTGCCTCAACATTTTAGGAATTAGGGGCCAAAAAGGGGCAAAAAACAAGCAATTTTCTAGTTTCAGGACAATAACTTGTGTGTAAGTGTATGGATCTTCATGAAATTGTACTACAAGGTTCCATATCACAAAGGGAAAGCTGGGTTTGAGTTTGGAGGTAATTGCCCTAAACGTTTAGGAATTTGGAGCCAAAAAGGGGCCAAAAAACAAGCATTTTTCTAGTTTCCAGACAATAACTTGTGTTCAAGTGTATGGATCTCTCTGAAATTGTACTGCAAGGTACCATACCACAAAGGGAAGGCTGGGATTGAGTTTGGGGGTGATGAATCATAAGGGGGTTCAAAAAATTTTGGGGGATTTTTTTTTCCTTTTTTCCCTTTTTTTTTTCTTTAAAATTTCCCATTTTAAATTGGTTATTTCTGATTTATATATAAAAGCAAATAATAAAGATATGGTTTGAATAGGTAAATTAAAATTTTTTAAAGTTCTTAGACCACATTCATTCTGTGTCAGAAACCTATGCTGTGTCAAATATTTAATCACAATCCAAATTCAGTGCTGTATCAAGCTTGAATGTTGTGTCCATACTTGCCCCAACTGTTCAGGGTATGACCTCTGCGGTCGTATCAAGCTGCGCCCAGCGGAGCATTTTATTGATTCAGCCATGCTGGATCTATGTGATCACTCCGGGTTTTTATGATGGTGACAAATTCTAAGTTGAAGACATATGATGAAACTAATGATGTGTTATTATGACTTGCAGAAACTTTATACACCTTGTTAATCAACTACTGCCAATTTTTGACATGTTATTTGCCCTTAAATTAAGAAAATGTAGGTGGAACAGTTAATTTATTTTAGATATACACTTGCATATAGTTCCTTTGTAAACTATTATTTAATTGAAAAAAAGTAGATATTAAAAATCAGTGCCACTTCTAAGAATTGAAATATCAAAATAATTTGTATCAGTATTGAGAAATTCTCCATCTTTTGGTAATTGCATACATTTTAAATAAGATTATGGAAATGAAATAAAACCATTCATTTTCAGTGTCATATAATTTTATCAAAAATCAATAAATGATCTTAAGATGAGTTAGAAAAATTGCATACTGTAACCTATTTTTTAAAATAAAAATACTCCCGACAGCAACCATTTACAAGTAAATTTAGGGAGACAAGTTAGTTTTATCAACTGAAAGAAACTCAAATATCTCCCTGAATTTAATGCAAGATTGATATATCAAGTTTTTTATTATTCACCACAATACCTGAGAATATGATTTTCAAAAGTGCACACAACTCTTCCAGTCTTTTCATCAGGAAACAAATTTTATTAGAAATGAGATCAGAAAATATTTCCGCCTACCCCTAGCTTAAAAATGGCTGCATCACAGCACAGACGATGCTTTGATTTATTAATTTTTAACCCACAACATCAGCACTTATCATGTATATGTACATAAAATGTTTTTTCCTGTTTTTTTTTATCTTCAATATTTTAATGCCAGTACATGGATATCATGGTAAAAACTATTTGGAATTATATATGCCATTTTTGTGAAATATTACATCATGCTATTTGTATTGAAACAAAGAGATGATTTGAAGACTTAAAAAGATTTTGCAATAAAATCACTATTTCATTTTGTTATATTAATTACTTCCCAGTATTAAATGAGATTTTTTATTTGGGTACTCCATCCAATTGTCTTTTTATAGTATTACTTGTAGAATTTTGAGTCTTGCAGAGCTGTTATATGGCAAATGGTTTTATGTCATTTTGTTTGTGTATGGACAACGAAATTACAGATAATCCATAATACTTTTGATGCCTTATGGATTTTTGGCAGAAATGGCCTTCTTTAGACGGCCATACCCAGAACAGTTATCCTCGTACCTAAGCACTTTTGTGATTCATGTGGTCACTGAGGTCCACTGTCTATGCAGGCTACAGTAAGCTACACCTATTAGCATTCCTTGGTCTTGCAGGTCAAAAAATAGAAAGAAAACTCGTCAAAATTTATGTTTTTTGCATAAGTCAATTAAAAGTATCAGTACCAAGGTATAGCTCATTTGCATATACTTTGCATATCTTTGTGAAAAAAGATAAAATACACATTTTTCTTAAAACAGTTCAGCATGTTAGATATTAAGATTCTGAAAAGGTGAATTACTTTAAAAGCTTGTTTGAAACAGTTTCTAGTTCATAATTGATAAACATATAAATATCATTGTTTTTTTTCAGTTGGAATAGCATCAGCAGTGCCACATTTAGAACTTCTGATATCTCTGATCGGTGCTTTTGCCAGTTGTGCTCTTGCACTTATGTTACCACCTATAATTGAACTTTTGACCTTGTCAGTTGAAGACGGGCAACTACGGTGGTGGACAGTTATAAAAGACATTATAATTATAGTTTTTGGTTTATTAGGATTTGCTACTGGAACTTTTTCAGCTTTAAAAGCAATAATTGAAAAATTTTAACTACAATGTTAGGAGTATATTAGTGAAAGAGATGAAAGGCAATATTTTGTTCTAAACATTCCTGATAAAGATATTTGTTTGGCTCAGGTGCAGTAGGAAATTTTCATGCATAATGTAATATAATTCATTCATTATTACATTTTATATTGCTTGTATTTTGCCATGTGCATCTCTATTCTTCATAATATGCATTAAGTTATTTTTGTAAAAAAAAAAAAAAAAAAACGTAAACCCCGATTCTCATGGTTTGTAGAAATATCATTTGCTCAATGTTTTTGATTTCCTGATTTTATTGTTGCCACTTGAGGTATCAGAGTAAAGAAAACATGAATTTTGTTGGGTAGTCATCTTTTAGATTAATAATGAAATCTACCTGATGAATGAGAGTACTTTTACAGTGTTGTATTTTAAGACACTTTGAGGTTATTTTTTTTATTCATATAAACTTATGGAGAACCTATCTTGTATTGATCCACTAGACTACAACTTACAAACTTAACAACTTTTCATGAGTAAAAAAAAATAAAAGCTGTATTTCAATAATGAGGAGACTTGTTATTGTTTAATTCATTTGTGAAATGACAAAAACAAACTATTAAATAAAAAAATATCATGTATGATTAAAGAGTAGTTCCCAAAAATATGTTTCAAAACAACCAGAAAAATATTTTGAATAAAGAAATGAAATTAGTTTAAAATTGAAGAATGAAATGATTACATGAAATGCTATGGTTTCACTTGAAGTATATTGTATTTTTATTTTGAAATTGAATAATGACTGTTTATTTAATTGCTCATCTTTCTGGACTCAATCTTCATTAGAACACTGTGTATTGCTCAACTTTGTTGATGTTACACATGTATATAATACAATTTAGCTCATCCCTGATTTTTCATTTTTTATGCCCCACCTAGGGGCATTATGTTTTTGGTCAAGGTAGTTTTTGGTGAAGTTGAAGTCCAATCAACTTGAAACTTAGAACACATGTTTCCTATGATATGATCTTTCTAATTTTAATGCCAAATTAGAGTTTTGACCCCAATTTCACGGTCCACTGAACATAGAAAATGATAGTACAAGTGGGGCATCCATGTCCTATGGACACATTCTTGTTATTGGGTATTTTTCCTGCACACCAACAGATTCAGTCAAATCAATTTTTAAGCAAGAAGTGTGTAGCCCAAAAAGAAAATATATTAGAAGATTAAAAATTTGAATACTAATATCAGACAGACTTGGTATGTGATCATCTGAGGAATGCTATTTGATGTATATAAATTTTTGTTTTTCAACTTCAAATTTGATCAGTTTTTCTATAGATTGTCAATATTCATTGATAAAATATTTTCTGTAATTTCAATATTTCTAAAGGGCCATATGATATATTCATATATAATATGGAAGGCATTTATATTTTAAGTGTGTTTTGTCTTCAGGTATTATTTTATTGTTCTGGGTTTGATTAAAAAAATTATGAATTTTCAATCGTGCCAAATAGATCTGTTGTATTATTTCTTGCTATATTTTTAATGTATAAATTGTAAATGTACAGTTTATTTTTGGTGGGTGGGGAGGGGGGTTTTCTGTCAATAAACAAATAAGTTGAAGTGGTGTACAAAGTGAAATATGAAAATGATCCAATTACAAATGATAAACTATAGAAATGCAATTGTAAAGTTGTAATTTAAAAATAATTTTTGACAAGTGTAGGATAATTTAAAGTTTGAAATGAAGTAGTTAAAGTGGCATTTTTAACTGCAATACATTGAAATTTTAACTTTTTCTTGTATCTTTTGTATAATAGTAAAAACTTCTATTTGAAACACTCATTTTCTGAATCTCACTTGCATGTGTATACCATTCGAAATGGTATAATAATATTTATATTTCACACCATGTTATTATATATATTCATCGCTTGAAAAAAATGGTCTTAAATATAAATTTTGACTTGGATGGAGAGTTGTCTCATTGGCACTCATACCGCATCTTCTTATATCTATTAAAGATCACATAAACTTATTGAATAATACTTTCATAGATCTCTTTTAATGTAATAATGTATGTCTTGCCTTTATGAATAAAAATAAGACAAAAAAATATATCTATCATTACCAGTCTAACCCTTAGATATGATGCTGTTATATTTTTGAATTTACAGCAAAATGAAGAATATTGATTTATACTGAAGATTGAATTTTTGTGTTAAAAAAAGAATACACTTATCAATTAATTCTTTCAAATGTAGACTGGAAATGACTGGCAATCAATGAGTACAAATAATACATACCAGACACAGATTCAGCCCCCCCCCCCCCCCCCACCCCCAAAAAGTGAAAAATAAGTAATAAAGGTAAACTAACAGTCAATTTTGTTTCAAAATAAGGTCATCTCATTCCTAATTTTCAGAAGCAACCCTCCTAACATCAAATCCTGGATCCACACCTGCATACATCAGAATAGGAATATTTTCATAGATTAAACATAAACATAGGGTCGAAAAAGCTAGAGTTCAATTTGTAAGTTAGATTGTTTAAGTATTTTGTGTTTCTAAAGAATATGATAAGTAAAATGTGCAATAGTATTTGTGTTATGTATATTTGTATTGAATATACTGCATGTATACAATTTTTGTGATATTTCTATATAATACAACACACAATTTAAAGTGTTATATATAAACTTTCCTGTTTCTGCTTTTTGCAATGACTGAAAAAACATAAAAGTCTAGTGCAAATCTGCTTTGGATAGCAGAGGAATCTCAATTAAATGTAAAATAAATTTTGTCTTGTTGAAAACCAAATGGTGTCCTAAATTTAAAAAATTAATTGTAAAATAGCTTATTTGGCCTTTTTAACTTTTTTTGATTCGAGCGTCACTGATGAGTCTTTTGTAGAAGAAACGTGCTTCTGGCACAAATACAAAATTTCAATCCTGGTATCTATGATGAGTTTATTTACAACCACTGGGTCGATGCCACTGCTGGTGGAGTTTTTATTCTCCGAGGGTATCACCAGCCCAGTAGTCAGCACTTCTGTGTTGACATGAATTATCATTGATATGGTCATAATTATAAATTAACTGTTTACAAAACATTACATTTTTGAAATACTAAGGCTTTTCTACCTCAGGAATAGAATACCTTAGCTGTATTTGGCAAAACTTTTAGGAATTTGTGGATCTCAATGCTCTTCAATTTTGTACTTTATTTGGCCTTTTGAACTTTTTTTGATTCAGGCGTCACTGATGAGTCTTTTGTAGACGAAACAAGCGTCTGGCACAAATACAAAATTTCAATCCTGGTATCTATGATGAGTTTATATATGATGATTTCTGACTAAAGTAAGCCATTGAATTTAGAAATTAAACAGTCTGAATCTGATGTTCAGTAGTTGTCGTTTGTTGATGTGGTTCATAAGTGTTTCTCGTTTCTTGTTTTTTATATAGATTAGACCGTTGGTTTTCCCATTTGAAGGGTTTTACACTAGTAATTTTTGGGGCCCTTTATAGCTTGCTGTTCGGTGTGAGCCAAGGCTCCGTGTTGAAGACCGTACTTTGACCTATAATGGTTTACTTTTATAAATTTTGACTTGGATGGAGAGTTGTCTCATTGGCACTCATACCACATCTTCTTATATCTATCTATGACCTTTATTTAAAATCTTGACTGCAACTAGTTGTACTATTCGGTTAAATAATATTGGCATTTAGATTTCTGCACCATTTATAATATATAAACATAATATGATTTAATGAAAAAAATATTTTATATATATATGCTTGTTTGAAGGTTGTCTGTGATAGTGTTATCATAATTGTTATAATTGGTGCTTAATCTTATATTTCTTGTATTCATTTTATTGTTAGTAATGTAGCAATTGTCTCAAAAGAATTTTTGAACTTGTTCATAAAGAAAGGAAATGAGGCAGTTGTCCATTTAAGGAAGATCAGGGTCTAAATAAAGAAGGATAGCATGTTCTAATAGAATTTTATTTTTATTTTAGGACACTTTGCTGAAAGGTTGTTTATAACGTTTTTTTTCAGAAATATAAGAAAAAGTATGGGTCACAAATCTATTTTACAAGCTACATATTGCACAAAATTGACAGATTTTGTAGATTATACATGGACAAACTTTTTTTAGGGAATAGAAAAAAACCTAAACGATAGAATTTTAAAATCAAATATGAGAAGATTGCTCTTATAATGTGCTTTCAGGAAATAAAAAGGAAATTTTGGTCACTGTACATATTTTCTTGCAACAGAACAAAAAAGGTAAATTCCTTGAACACTTTTTTTTGTTACTGAATTATCTTGAGTAATTTCCCCTTATATTGTAAAATTACATAAATAGAATTAAAAAAAAATGTTCAGTGTGTAGGTGATAATACAATAAATGTCATAATTTTCTTTTTCTTCAAATAAAAAGGGTTACAATTGATATGCATTCCTGCCTCAAAATTTGCCAATTTGATTAATTTAAAAGATCTCTACCATTTGTGTTATGCTTTTTTACAATCCAAGATGGAGGAAGGCACCTGATCTACCTTAATATGTTTAAATTTTATAAAGATTATTCATTGTATATTCTGATATTATAGTGTTCAGTATACACTTATTTCTGGTCATAATGTCAAATTTGTTATTCTGTTCTTGTGCATGTTTTCTTTCCCTTCTATGGTTTTATCTTTGATTGTAGGAGAGATTATGTTTTCAAGACTGTGTTTCAGTCTGTCCGTCCATTAGACGTCTGCTTGTCCATTCCATATCAGGATGAAGTTTTGGTTTAAAGCAGTTTATCACAAAGTTGTTGTCGCATCAACATTTAATCTTACACATATTCATTATGATGAAAGCATATGCAAAATTAGATATTTTGATCCAGATTTTGTGGTTCACTGAACATGGAAATATGATGATGAAAATTGGGCATGGTTTCCCAAAGACACACATTCTAGTTTGTTTATGTCATTGTGTGTTTATTTCTTATATTTCAAAGAAATGGAATTAAATGCTAGAACAGACTCAGAGCTAGATTCCAATAGGACTGAATTTTGGTCTAAGATTTATCTATATTTCTATATCATTGGACATATAGTTATGACTTTTTCTATTATTTTAAGCAAGTAAAGAAATATAATACAAATCTACAGTATTAATTATCAAAATTTTACAAATAGAAATATGTGTAAAAAGACTCTAAATATAAATAGCCTCTACACATCTTGTTTTATCGTATAACCATGGGTTCATTATTTTTTTTATTGCTTAAATATCATTATAATATTCATTCTTGTTCCATTCTTTTCTACGAAACTGTTATGTATGCATGTTTTACTATATTATTATTAGTTGAATAAAATATATCTATTTCTTATAAGGATTTATTTCATTACCAATGTCAGTTTTTTTTTAAAGCACCTGCTCTGTCCAAATTGAAAGAGGTACTCTGCAAAAAATATGTCTGTGTCTGATAATGTACATGTCTTCTTAAACACAAATTAAACCAACTCATAGATACCAGGCTTATAATTTTGTACGCCAGTCGCCAGATGTGCGTTTTGTCTACAAAAGACTCATCACTGACGCTTGAATAAATGAATTAGATTATTCACAGATCTCATATGATTGTGCTTTTATCTTTGTTTTTCTTTCAGTTTTTCGGTGTTTAGTATGCATGGTCAATTAAGGAGTTTTATTCCATTAGGGAAATGAAACGAACATCATTTTGATGGAAAAATTAATTTAAGCTCTACCTTCCTTCAATTTTATTGTTTTTGTTTGTTTGCTTGTTTAGGGTAATGCAAAATCTTACTTTGTGAAGAACCACACTGATTCCAACAACGAATACATTGAAGATGACATCATTAAAATACTGGACTTTTTGATAGACATCATATTTGTAGAGTTTGGTGGATTGATATTTCAACAGACAGTCGGTATTTCAATGGGTACTAATTGTGCACCCCTACTGGCTGACTTGTTTTAGTACTCATATGAAACTGAGTTCATACAGAATCTTTTCAAAGAAAAATAGAAAGAAGGTTCTTCAATTTTACTTTCAGATATATTGATGATGTCCTGTCCCTCAATAACCCGTATTTCAGTAATTGCTTGCACCTCATACTAGTATATCCCGATGAACTGATGTTTCTTGATGGTTCTTGACTTTCAAACTAGAATATATGACAAACATGATTTCAACTTTCTAATTATCAAAATCCATTTCTCAGCAGTACAATACCCTCTGCCCCATTTTATGGCGTTTACATATCTCAATTTTACGCTCATGCATGATCACACTATACAGACTTCATTAATTGGGGTGTGCTCCTTACACAAAAACTTCTCAAACAGAAATGAAATCGTTAGTACATGAGTTTTACGGTCACAATAACGAATTTGTTGACCGATTTGACGTGTTTGTGAAAACTCATTAACAACATGTTTTCGTGTTTTTAAATCTATAGATACCGGGATAGTCATCTGATCTGTAATATTACTGACTGTGACATTTTGACGTATTGTTGATTTGCATTGCGGGTGACTCATGCATAGACGGAGACGCCCACACTGTCAACGCACCCCGTCTCACTCTTTTTAGAGTTTATACGATTCCTAATATCTTGTTTATACCTTGATTTGTATCTTCTATATCGATTTTACGATCGACATCATATTTGTTGAGTTTGATGGATCGATTTTTCAACAGACAGTCGGTATTTCAATGGGTACTTATTGTGCACCCCTACTGGCTGACTTGTTTTAGTACTCATATGAAACTGAATGCATACAGAATCTTCTCAAAGAAAAAAAACAAGGTTCTTTTATTTTACTTTCAGATATATTGATGATGTCCTGTCCCTGAATGACCCGTATTTCAGTAAGTACTTGCATCTCATACTAGTATATCCCGGTGAACCAATGTTTCATATCTTGATCGTTTTCTTGAAGCTGCCAAAGATGAGCGACTTTCAAACTATGCCAAACTTGATTTCAACTTACTAATTATCAAAATCCATTTCTCAGCAGTACAATACCCTCTGCCCCATTGTATGGCGTTTACATATCTCAATTTTACGCACATGCATGTTCACACTATACAGACTTCATTAATTGGGGTGTGCTCCTTACACAAAACATCTCAAACAGAAATGAAATCGACAGTACATGAGTTTTACGGTCACAATAACGAACTTGTTGACCGAATCGATGTGTCAGTTTTCGTGGTTTTAGATCTATAGATAACGGGTCATCTGATCTATTATATATTACCGATTGTGACATTATGACGCAGTGTTGTAACGCGTTGCGGGTGATGCATGCATAGCGGGAGACGCTCACCCTTTCGACGCACCCAGTCTCATTCCTTATATTTTTTTCTACCTTCTGAACATCGGTAAACTACTGTTGCCTAAATTTAAAGAAGGGAAACAAGTGTGCAGTATTATTAGCGATTTATAGATTCCTCTGCCAAACACTAAAAACAAACACGTAGTGAAAAGTATGATATTATATCGTAAATGATAAACTCAGATACCAGGCTTAAATGTGATTAACATTAAATGAACGACTAATCTACGTTGGTTATGTTGAACAATCGTGAACTATTTAAGTATACTCTTCTCCGAAGGACAGGACTATACTGATATCGCTGTCTGTCCGTTTGCCCGCCCCATGAGATTTTAATTTCTGTCATAGTTTTCTACATGTCACAGTTTCCTTGAATTGTGTTCAGTCTTCATGTGATCATGCCTTACTGTGATGTGTTTTCACATTTATCGTTCTTCAAAATTCTGTTTACCGAATATATATATATTCTTACACATAATGACCATGCATAAAATTTTCGTCACATCTTTGGGACCAGAACGGTGGCACCCTGAAATTTTATATCGGGCTTTATATATATGATCATGCTATTATATACCATATGACGATGTAACCATTTTCGCATCCGTTGTTCATCAATTTCTCGTTTACCAAATACTTATAGCGGGGGTATCATAAGTGAGCAGGGACTCAAAGTTCAACTTGCATTTACCTTGCAATAGCTTACATTCTATCAGCTACACAATTGTTGCATTATGGATAAAAAAAAACAAATCCACGAAAAGAGCTCAAGAAAATTTTCTGCAATCCTAATATAAAACAAATGCCAATTAAAAATTATATCGTAAAGCATGTTACCATACGATTTTAAATTTATGAAATGGAAGGGAATAGATTAAAACCTATTTATTTTTAGCATGATAACTATGATGGGTGTTTTTCAAAGAATAATATCTAAAATAGTGCAGAAAAACGAAGGAAAAGATAAATAAGTAAAAACCTTGATTTTACTATAAATAAGCATATTAATTATGCAAATAGTATGGACAATATTCAAAAATTCTATATTTTTATAATATACATTTGTTTCAATTGCTGTTGTCTTGTTAATCAACGTCTTTTACTTCACAGGCTCAATAAAGAGGTCTGTAGATTTTTGGTTTTTTGGTGGGGTTCGTGTTTGTCAGACTTTAGTTTTCTATTTTGCGTTTTTCATACTGTCTTTTGGTCGATTTTTAGTTTTTTGTCATAGTGTTGTCAGCTTGTTTTCGACTTACGAGTTTGAATGACCCTAAGGCCTTGGGTATCATTCGCCTTTCTTTTATCTGACATAAGAAATTTTCTACGTTTGTCGTATAGTTGTCAGTGAAATATGACCGAAGAATTGGCTTTATTTGAACATATCTTTGGACTCATATAAGGGTCATTTTCTTAATCCGTCCATATTCTTGTACGGCTGACCTGTAAGGAAACTACGGCTTTATCATCGTTTGAATTTTGGTGTCCTGCATAGTGCAACGTAAGTTCTACTACTTGCAGAAGAAAAATAAGGAATAGGTCCGTGGGTTTTCTACGAAATCGTGCTCAAAGCTCTAAAATGACCCCAAACTGCATATCCCAACTCCAAAAGTACCAATTACATCGTATCAAAATAGACATCTTTATAATTTCACAAATCTTACAATTTGCTGTTTTAAGATAGAAAATACAATGTAGATTGATATTATAAAGGCTTTAAATAGTAGTTGGCTATGGTTTCAGATTTATCTTAAAATTTTATAGTGTTCTTGATATTTTGTCAACTACATAACGAAAACGTTTTTGCTTGCTATACTATTACTTCTGGCACCCCTTTTTTTATCTAGAAAGTGCCTAAGCACTAACTCTACATATCATTTTATAATAATGAAGCATAAAAAGATAACTGTGAATGATATCAACAATTATTGGCATTTAAGTAAGTACAGGTAGCCCCGTATTTTTTAACTTGTCCACTTGGTAACGGGATTTTTTTTTCAAGATAACAATGGAACATCACGTCCGTATCTATATCATTATAATCAATGTTCTGTGTTTTATAGAAAACCAAACACAGTGTTTGTGATGTTGAAGTATCAGTGGTATTCAAAGATGCCTCAAAGTGTGAATACGTCCACTACATAACAATTGACCTGATTTTGTTATGTAGTGGACATTTTTGTTATGTATTTGACAATATCGTTATGTAGGTGACAAAAAGCAAAAGTCAAAATCGTACGTTGAACAATGTAATAACCGCAGTAATTAGAAAAAGTAAATTTATTTTATAATATTTATGGAAAAGGTGATCATTTATTAGTACTAAACATTGAGATATCAACATAAATGCTATCGTTATGTCGTTGACAAATTCCGTAATTTCTGTTATCTCAATTTGCATTCAAAATGATCTTCTCAGCTTCATTAAGACTGCATATTTTAGGTTTTGTTCATATAAATTTTTAAGAGTTCATTAGAATATTTAAAATTGAATTTATTTGAAAAAAATATTGTCAATTTCTATCTAAAATATGGAAGGATTTTGAAAACGACCCATACGCGAAATTTGTTCAGTTTTCAAACTCTATATCGCAAGTTACACGATAAGTTATGCCTGGATAATAGAAATAAATGGGTACATATAATTGTAGAACTGCATGCATTGCCCAAATTAGCATATATTGGATGAACCTTGTGTCTGTGCTTTCATTGTTAACATGCTTTTTATCAATATTAGCTATTCGGAACCATGTTAGAGAATATATATGGCTCGAAAGGTATTCAGAGAAATTTAATATGGAATTAAGAAACGATACAAAATACATGATTACTGGTAGTCATAATTCAATAACATATTTCCTATCTCACCAGTAATTCTAAATTGTCTGTATCAGTGGTCGTTAAGATTCTCACCATTTTTAAAACTTGACGAAGAATATAACGATAATACTATAAAACACGTCTGGTGTGACTTACAGCACAGAGTTTGAAACCGATACTAAAAATACAAAAAAAACTGTGGTTTATATATTCATAATGCTTTATGACAGCTGAACAACATGCGATAAGAGGGACACGATTATCTCCCATCGAAATACCAATTACTTGGCGATATAGTTTATAAAAATAATCATTATCATCAAGCAAAAAATAAACAACTAAAATATCTT